CTAATTCCGGGCACAGCATGGACAGACGTCGCGGCTGAGCACGGACTCAACAAGTGCTTCACTTGCACACGGCATGCTACGATCCTCAGTCGACGCGCATGGTTTGTCTTCAGTCCAGGATGTAGCCGCATCCTCTGACATCTAATTAGTTTTTTGGCACATCACCGGACGTCAACACATCAACGAAACAAGGACGACCTAGACCTAATCTGCATCAGAGCGATGAGGGATGGAGAAAAGATCTCTACAACTTCGTTCAGCTAAAGGGTGTTGGACTGGTGTTGGATATCTGCTGCTCTCTGCAGCAGCTGTGCGCAGCGAAATGGTTGGGCAAATTCAACTCTTAGCCCGTCTCGAACATGGATGCCATGGATGTCGGCTTGATCAAGGCACAATCTGGAAATAGGTGAGCCTGATCGATTGATCAGCCGGCGGATTTGATGATGCCTGCTGGAGGCAACAGTCAGTAGTGTTCAAACCAAATCTGTAAACAAGGTGCGTTGAGTCTTGTAACAAGCCCAAAATTTCCGGAGACGTCGCGCAGGCTGCTCGGATTCGAAGGACATACACACACACACACAAGGACTCCACCATGCCTTCCTTCCCAAAGCTCGAAAAGGAGCTTGGACCGATCCTTGGGCATGTCAATTCTCACACCAGAGAGGCCTGGATGAACTTCTGAGACCATGATGGAACTTTTGTATGTTCCAGCTTCTTCGTACAGTTGGAGGCCGAGGATCTCCAAGCTCTGGTGGCACAAGCGGTTCGACAGGCTCGCGCCAATGATGCAGAAGATTGACCTGTGCATTGGGCGCTTTCTGGGATAAGGAAGGTAAGATGACGAGAATACGACTCTCGTGGTTTGGAGATCAAGTCTACATGCTTGTGTAGCATAATTCCTGTCTGCCAAGTCTTTTCTTTCCTCTCAGCTTATGACGGTTTCCATGTAAAGGATCGTGACATGTGCATTTTGCTGCAAGGACCACACAAGTTCGGGTCTGCATAGCGATCATCAGGCTCAGAAATTGTTGGGCACCTTCGCCGGCATAGTCCAATATTCATTCCCAGAGTTGGTCTGGATGCGGTGGTAGCGGTATCTTGGACGGTTTAGGGTCTGGGGGCTCATTGCTGCAGGGACTTACTCCTAGAAGGCAGTGGAGACAGACGAGCAATCAAACGACCAGCTAAGCTGCAGGTCTGCTGCTCTTGGTATTGACAGTAGTTTCAGACTGCATGTGTATGTATAGATGTATGTGTTTGTGTACGTATGTGTACGTTATCTATATACTCTATATATGTACATATTGTATTTACAGTACATATATGTACTGGTGCAGCACTGCCGAGCCTAGGTCCGTGTAGTATGTTTGTACCGTCCGACCCCCTTGATGGCGATGGCTCCCTCAGCAGCGAGGGTACTGCCGACTTGTGACAGACTTTGACGTCGGCACTGTGCCCGTCGATGACTTCTCGAACGGCAAAGGTTCTGTTGAGGTGTCCGAAAGATTTTGCAGGGCCGGATTTCCGCTGCCCTGCAGAGGCTGAAAGGGTTCAATGATCTTGCGGTGCGCTTGTGACTGCTGACTTCAGCGCATGGCGGAGTACAAGTACATTGTCACTATGTTTATCGTATGTGCGACCCGTACTTATGACAATCGATCGGCTGCGCTGCCCGAGCCGAGTTGCGCAGTGGCAATTTTTGCAGCTCCATATGAACGACCTTGTGTTATTTGTCGGCTACGCTAGCATGTTTGTGCATACTGTCACGATAAATTCAAGATATTCTGGTAAGTTAATATAATGGAAAATAAATTACAACATCATACAAAATACTAGAATGGACTAGAATAGAATAGAACAGAGTAGAACATGATAGAACTTATAACATAGTAGTACAAAATATCATACAACATAACGAAATGCAATAATGCAGAATAGTATGACATAGTGTAGTTGACTATACCATCAATTTACAGAAAGTGTGACATGATACCACATAACATGATACAAAGCTTGAATTATTAATGTAGCAACAATCAGATATAGGATAAGATAAGAGTATCAACTAACATAACATGGTACAATATCCGTCAGTCAGTCGGTCATACGCCGAGCGGCGCGTGGACAGGTAAACTGGCACACTGCACGATTCCAGACATGAGGATTCTGCACAAGTCTGGTTATCTCACGGTGGCTTTCAAACAATTGACATGCTTTGTCCCTGACAAATGTGACCCATTCTCGTCGCGGCCTCCCTACTCTTCTCACATACAAACTTGTGGCATGCTTCAGCATTCCACGAATAAATGCGCAGCTGTGCGGGGGGTGGTCGTATGCAGATCACAGCACTTTACCGAAAACGAGGAATTGTCGCTTCAATAGCATGCCTGAACTCTGCGCAGAACTTTGCCATCCCGATTCTCCGACCAAGTTCATGCCCTGGTAGCCCATCATGACTGAGAACAGATCCCAACTAATGGATCGTCGGAGTCCGAATGATTGCTCCGAATGACACCTTGACGTTCTACTTGTAGCTATTGAAGCTCCATGCCATACAACAGCCCTGCACCTGCGATCTGAGACAGATAGCCCTGCAAATGAAGATTGGATGGTACAATAAAACAAAAAACAATATAACATAGTATGAGATGCGATTATGAACCATACTGCAGCATTAGTAAAGCCTAACCTTATATCATATTATGTTCTGCTATGTTATACTACATAATATAGTACAATATAGAATCTTATAATATAATATCATCCATATAACGTAGCAAAAGTAGTAAAATAAAAACAAAAATAACATAAATCGAAACACAGTATAAAACTAGTGGAATCTACTATGTTAGATTAAGATTGTATGGTATCTTAAACTATACTAAACTGTCAAACATTGTTTAGGTGCTGTTTTATACGAAATAGTATTATGTTCTATTGTACAATAAGAGATGACATCATATGACATGGGATGATTTGATATGGTATGATAGTATGCTCTGTTCTGTTATGTGTATATATTCTGTTGTATGCCATAAAACCAAACTCAAGCGTAAACCTTTCCTCCCTTCCAAGCGTCGGCTCCGTCAGCTTCCGGAATTTGTCATCCTGGGGAGTCCAGTGGCCCTTCACCTCGGAGTCTGGCAAGACACAGAGCCCTGAAACCACATGGGTCCCGGTACTACCATGCACACGCCGCTGAGCCACTGAGCCAAGGCTCGGACCGTGACCTCGTACCGCTTGGAAAAGGTGCGACTCTGAGTGAGGGCAGAGTTCAGCTTCCTGCGAAATGGCGTAGCAGAACACTCACTGTGTCGCAGCAGCAGTCTCAGCCTTGGCAAGGCAACATTCACTTGGTTGCAAACATCCACCTGCGTCTCGAACAAAATGCATGAGCTGCGCGACCCAAACCTATGCGGACTCGGTCCTATCGTCTGTGAGGACCTGAGCCGCATCCCACATGCGAACAGTGCCCTTCTGGCAACTCGTAGCCCCATTCATGATTTTTCCTGGGGCGCGAACAATGAGCCCAGACGTGTCTTTGTCCTTGGGAGCCACAAACGGCATGACTGAACATGACTGAACAGTGTTGAAACTGAACTTCGCAATGTCCCTGTCTCACTCTTCTTCAGCACACCAAGAGTGCACAGACCGCCACCCTCTCTCCTTCTTTCTTTCATCACTGATGAAGGGAGGGTTGCGCAAGTGCACCGCTCGTTGCGGGTGCCAAGAGTGAGCGCCTCTGGAACTCCAAAGCAGTCCACGGCTAGCAGACCGTTCAGGAAGTTGTTCGCAAGGCAAACACAGTAAAGAGCGGTTTGTTTCCCTATCAAGCAGGGAAGGTCATCTCGGCTTCGTTAAAGATGTGCCCATGCTCGTCCTCCTCACGAGGGCACAAGCAACTGTCTCATCTGCAGAAAGTGCTACGACCAGGTAGTTGGTAAAACCCAGCGATGTGCGAGTTTGGCGGCAAGGCAGTGTCGCTGATTGCGGTCCAGTATCTGGTCGTAGCGTCCCCCGGACGCCGAGCTGCTGTCACCGGTGAGGCTCTGCCCCCACAGGGCGAACCCTTACAACCCCAAAAACCCTTCCTTCTAGACCCCTATAAACCCTAAACCCTAAACCCCTAAACGGCTGGAAGAACAGCAGGACTGGGAAATCGCCGATCGGGTCGATCGCGAGGTTGGAGTCCGGCCTCCCTCCGCTCTGAAGGCCCTCTTCTTTCTAGGGCTAGGGCCTTGGGCACGTATACTATTCTACTATATATTAGATTATACTATATTGTGTTGTCTTATGAGATGCTTGTTATGTGATGCCATATGATGTTACGTAGCTTGTCTTATGCTTTGTTATCTTATATTATACTATAGTGTCTCACACAAATGCTGCTGTATCATATTCTGTTATTTGGAGTGGCTTGGGCCAAGTTGTCTTCCTCTGTCCGAGGCGAGCTGCCAGCCGCCCGGCAGCGCCGACGCGTGGAGGCGGTGGCGGCCCGGGAATGCGGCCTGGAGGACACGAGACACGACGCCACAGCCTAAAACATCTGATCAAGACATGCTGTGGGAGTCCGCGCCACCTTCGCATGCCAGCTTGTGAAATATCTCATAAACCTTTGCTGAGCATGCACGAAATAAGATTGCAACAGCAGGTGCAGCAGATCGGAAAGCATCCAACCAGTTAATTGCGGGCATGCAACACTGTCGCGTCCCAATACATCGTTCCTCTGGCTTACGATGCCACGAGGCTTGTTGAGGACATACGTGGAGAAAGAGCGAAGGGCCTTCCAACGGCAGATGGCATCGATTCCGGGCATAAAGAACGCTGCATAAATACGCAGGACACACTCATAGTTTGTTCCTCCCACCAACATCGCAGCAATCTGTGCTACGCTCCTGCTCCAACTTCTGCTGCCGATACTGCTGCAACCGCGGCTACCGTGAGAAACGACTTGCAGGCATCGGCGATATTGTAACTGTCTGTTTTCTTCTACTCGCCAATCTAGCCATGTCAACAAATCTCCTTCCCCCTTCGCCCGCAATTCAGCTCAGCAGCTCAACACCTGAATTGACTGCATTTGGGGATTGGCGGCAAAATCCTACATACAGTCGTAGGCTCTAACTCGTAACTTCCCTTGTCCCCCCTCCGTTCGTTGCCGTCACCTCGGTAGTGCTTTGCCAGGCCGCGACCAAGGCCAGGCTCGCGGTCAAGGAGGTCTTTGGGCGCATTGCGCGAGTGAAGACCCGGCATTCCCCGAAAAATTCGTCAGCTGCTGTGGAAAAAGGGCCTTACCAGTAGGGGCCTCAGGGGCCTTAGGAACTGCCATCTTCTGTCGAGCTTTGAGCTTCGGCGTCCTATAAGGACAAGGGCTTTGAGGGGAATGCCTGGTGTCGACGAGCTTTTTGTGCTGTGTTACGGTAAGCTACAACACCTAGATGTCAACGCTTGGTTGTTTGACTTTGTTAGTCTTTGTTCGGTGCACACTGCAGACTAGCAGGGTAGCTCGTTGCAGACATTCACTTGAACAGCATGACCTATGACGTGACACTGTGCCAAACGTGCATCTCTGACCTTAAGGAGTTCGTTCAGCGATTCCCATGCATCAGAGAAGGACCGTGGGCTCGTAGGAGAGCACGAAAACTTTCGCACAAACAGATTCACACCCTGGTCACGCTGGCAACGCCGTGGACTTTGTTGTCGAAGGTCCCGGCCATCTGGCGTCACAGGATGATGCATGGTAGTGACTATAGTAGTGACTATAGTAGTGACTTAAGCATGTACTGCAGCTTTATCCAAGGATCCCTCTCTTTGTATGACATGGCAGACTCACAGTCAGAATCCACTTTGACAGATTACAACGGCAGGCAGCATCGTTGGGTCGCCCGCCGTTTTCAGACCCCAAGCGCGCTCGACGTGGTAGGCCAACGGGCACTCGTAGGTCACCTCAGCGGGTTCGTCTAAAGGAAAGGTGCCAAAGAGGAAATGGCGTTTGTGACACTGCACCAAAGAGATGTTGAGTCGTGGACATAGAAGAGCTCTCCATCGGGGTGTGGCTTTACTCCTCGTTCAGATTCCAGAGGCTCCGCTGATGATGCGGATGATGATGATGATGATGCATGCATGCATGCATGACCGTACAGAGAGCTGTTGCACAGCTTCAGTGGAATTGAAACAATCCCGGGAGTCGGCGATGGCGGCAAGGCGGCCCCGTGCCTTCACTCTCTACCGCCTCGCGCCATTTGCCCAGAGCCTCCTCTGCTCGTGTGACCTGCACAAGGCTTCATGTTGCATTGTTCGGTGCAGTAGCCTGCCAAACCGTAGCTGCCAGTTCTGCCAAGCAGATTTTGCAGTGAGCCCCAACTGCAGGCTAGCTTCTCGCAGCCTGCACTACCTGAAAGGGCGGCTTCAGGTCGCACCAGAACTTGAAGCGGGCGGCCCTGCATGCTGGGTACCGAGTCAGGGATCGGGCAGTGAGGGAGGAGAAGCTCGAATCATGCCGCGGTCTGCTGTCGACCTACGCATGCATGACATGGATGCGTGCAATCATGTATGCTACATGCATGACAAAATGCATGCATGCCTGCCTGCTTACATACATAAACACCTACCATCATATGCTCATATGTACACAGTACACACGTGCGTACACACATCAAACATTATCATACACACACATTCATACATCCATACATGCACACATGTATACATGTGTTATGCATGCATGCAGTATGTCTTTGCATCCTACAACCTGTGCGTGGGTATACATATATCTACACACACACACACAAAGTACAGATATTACAGAATGCAATTCTTGACGTATAATAACTAAATGTACAGGGTCTGCATACAACTCCTGACTCGTCTCCGGGCCGTTCGAGGCCCTTCTGAAAGGGTAGGGCCCGGGCCCAGAGCGGAGGGCCACCGGCACGTTCTCAGCAAGTCTCCAAATACATCCAGGGTTTACAGAAGGGGTTTAGGGGTTTAAAGTAGCTTGAGATGAGCTGGGGGTTTGCAAGGAAGACTGCCGACTGAGCTCCCTTCCTGCGGATCCAAATACTCGCCGACCTGCGCAATGCAACCAAAAAAAGAGGGTTAGAAGCCAAAGCATAGCCGCAGCCCGGTCTTCCCAAGAGAGAAACTAAGTTTCCCGGTTAGTCGAGCATGCTTCCCACCGCTGTTTGACCAAAAGCAGAAATTCCTGCCCTTCGAGGAACGAAGGACTCCCAATCCCGGCCCAAGTTGCTGGGCTGGTAGAGACTTGTCCGGCCTCTTTGCGCTGGGGATGCTCTTCCTGGTCAGGCGGATCGGTCACCAGTGATGGAGCTCAACGGGCCTTGCATATTCAGAGCTTCCGCGACACACTGAGAAGCTTGCATCGCGCTGGATGTGGTAGTACGTCCATGACAAGACATGTTCCAGCCTTAGCTCCCCAGTGCACAGGCGGCAGAAAACTTGGTGAGATGTGCATGCACACGCTTGAGGCTGCCACATGCCCTGCATGCGCATGGTGTTATCCTTACTCCAGTTCGGCACCTGAGGGCCAAGCAGGCGAAGAAACAAGATTCATCAGCCGATCTTCACTGCAGCAACAGCATAGCACAAGGATGTACCAGTGCGTTGTAGCCATGAGCCATACGCGGCCGTAAGAGTACCCCCCAAAAAACCGTTCCAAGCCAGGAGCCAATCCATTGGCGAAGTCTCGCCTGCGCTACTAACAGCTCAGTCTGGAGGAAGTGAGACGAAGGATAGCCAACAACACTACCAAATCAGTTTCAACTGCTGCAAAGATGCTTGTCAGTGGGATCGCGAACTCCCATGTTTCGGATTTCCTTGTTTAGAATACGACGGTCCATGCACTGGCTCTTTGCAGGAAACCCGGTGCCACTTCCTGTGCTTGCTTCCGCGTGCTCCATAGGAATGCAGGCCAGCATCGTCCCACTCACGAAAAGATGATGCCAATGGCTGCCACGAGCGTCGATTGGATGGGCTGCCGAACTCGGCCAAGGCACACGAGAATGCATGGCTAGTAGGTGCGGTGGCAAACGAGTGCTGGCATTTAGTTATACAAGTAGGAGCATGCAATCGCAACACTTCTGGTGCATAGACGAGACCGGTATGCAACACAAGTACTGAGGTCAGAACTGTGGACTGTGAAGCATTGGTATACCTTGCACTTTGCTGATTAAGTTTGCTTTTCCACATGATGAACTGCGTGCAGGGCACCACGTGGTCACGGAGGGCGACTGCTGCGCGTGTAGAAGTGGCGCGCTCTGAATCCGACCTGGCAGTCGACTTCGCCGATTTTTGCAAACCGATCCTCGGTCACAAAGGCTCCACTGCAGCCCCACGGCTCATGGGTCGCGTCGAGAAGCCGCCAGTGGAGCGAAGCGTGTGAAGCTTCTCCTGGGTTGCCGAGGATTGCATTCCAGGCCTGCTGCTCTCCCTCAGAATTGGACAGGCTTAGGCAGGCTGTCGGGCTGAGATAACTGCTCCGCGACGACCAACAGGAGACATGTCCTTAGACGCAGATTTGCCACATGTCATGCTTGCCTGGACTGTGTTGCTTTGACTTGGGGCGCCACTGCATCGCTGAAGTGGCTTCGACCTCGCGAAGTGTCGAATTTTGATCTCGTTGAGCCGAAGTTCCGTTCCGTGCCAAGCCACCGGATCGACCTCCCGGGCTCACCTCCCCCGGGTACATTGTCCGAGCCATGCCCTTGGAAGCACTGGGGCAACTCCAAAGAGCTCGCAGAACTCAGAACGCCCGAGCTTGCCTCCATGTCGTTGTGTGCGAAGGCCGCAGGCGTAGAAACAGCTTGGCTTACTCGCTCAGTCTTCACAGCTTGCGATTCGTAGCTCGAAGTAGGCTAGCAAAAGGAACTAAACTATTTTAAACTCTCTCATTTCGCATGGCCTTGTTACTCGAGGTATCTAAACTCAGCAGCGGATCTGCATAGCCCCCTTTGGGGGAACAGGAGCCACTGAATGCCTGCAGATGGAGGGGGAAGAATGGAGAAGAAGACTCCAAACAACGTACGATCTGTGCCTCCGTGTGCCTACACCGACTGCCCAGTCATTTTCATTCGGGGGTGTTTAAGGAACCACGCAAATGACTCGTCAGGGACTCTGCTCTAGCATGACCACTTGGGTAAGCCAGGCACCGGTCAAGCATCTGGCCGCGGCACACGCTGGCCACTATGCTGTGCAAGCGTCTCGGTCTGAAGCGTGACGAGCGGTCGTGACGGAGCAGTTTATGAGTCGAGGTGAGCTGGTTTGTGAAGGTCGCAACGGCTGCGGCAAAGCGATGCACCGCACTTGCTTGAGCAATGCAGATGTTCTCCGGCTCTGTGTTGAAGCTGACATGCGACATCAGCTATGGCAGCTATGATCAAGCTGGCACTGGCTGCTGAGTACCCTTGTTGTGCATGATGCCTTGCAATGCCTTGCACGCGCGTTCGCAGCAACGAGGTGATATCCCGTCCTCGAGATATCCAACCAACTCCTGCGAGGAAACGGTATGCTTTCGTGTGGACAGAAAGGGAGGGCATGCAGAGATTGCCTCGACGTCATCCTCGTCCTCGTCCTCTGCATCCTCCTCGCTGTCGTCAGCAGCTTCTGCCTCTCAAAACCGAAATCCACTTACAATGTAGTGACAAAGCCGTAGGACAGGTGCTAGCCGCCTCAGTTACGACATGTTACCACACACCACCTGCTGCACATCTGCCCCATCGCATGTCGCCATAGGCCAAGCGCCTACAGTTGTCTCGACAAAGGATGGCTTGAAGTGTCTGCGAATGCTACTCTTAGTCTTGCGGCATGAAGCTACAATAGCACCAATGGCTTCCCGAAAACAGCGGCATCGCTGCTGTGATGCTTGACAGGCTCCGTCTTTTTTCTGGAAAGCCTTGCTACAACTGCTTGCTCAGCAAATCAACGGCGATGGGATGGTGCGCTTTGTCATCACAGAGCATGGCTGAAACACACTGAAACGTACATGCGGCGCTCGTAACCGGCAGAAGCATGTGGCTTGACGCTTTTACTCATCATGTGCCTGGACGGTTGGTAACTCTCCGTTTGCGCCATCATCCTGCATACTGCAGAGATCCTGCATGTGGTGCAGACTTGAGTGCAGTTCGCTCTACCTGGCCGGCGAAGCCTCCAAGCGGAAGATGCTCCCGCAATGGCACGTCAAGCGTCAGATTTTCCACTGTGGAAAATGCGCATGCCAGCCATGCAGAGCTTCATTTCGCAAAAGGACCAAATGCCGCGTTGAATCCGCTCTGCATGGCAAGGAATGCTCTAAAAGCCTACAAGGCCTACTCAGCAACCATCAGACCGGCGGGCGCATAGGGCCTTGGAAGACCGCGAAGCTTGCAGCACCGTCGGGCCACCGGTTTGCGTGACGAATTGCTCTTGCACAGAAACGAATTCTGAAGCTTCCTACCCTGTCTGTCCCTCCCGAGGCCCCTGGAGTTCCACGGTTCACAGACACCACACCGTCACACCGAACATAAAGAGTTGGACAGACAGGGAGATACCGAGAAGTCCGGCTTCATCCTCTCCTCGGGTACCGGCAACAGCGGGCTGCAGCTTCTCAGAGCTTTCACGAGAAGCCAGCACGAGGAGTAAAAGTCAATCCAGAGCCCGTGCCAAATGCTAGTAGATGCTACGACGGCAAAGATAAACTCCACACGTGTGAATTGGCACGTAAACACATTGCGACAGATTGCGTTGTTGGGTGACAAGTTCACCATCGGTGGGCGAACGGATTACCTGAACCCATGTTATCACGAGAACTTGCATGGGCTCTGGCAGCAAGTGATGGAAGCCTTCCCATGAACACCTTTCAAGCTGGCTTTCCTCAAAGGGCCATGGCTTCACAAGAATCGGAAACATCGCGTTCCGATCTCCAGTCACCCAGCAGTCGCCCCTGAATGCACGCATAGCTAAAACGAGTTCGTTCTCACACGGAATCTGGGAACGACAGCAGACTTCACATAGGTTCCTGTCAAAGAGCTCCTTGGCAAGCCTGAAAGCGGGTCCTCATAGTCGAGACCATACCTTGGCTGCAACTTTTTGCCTCACTCTCCTACTTAACATGTAAGGCCTACAGCACTGCAATCCACTGCAGTTGTTACAGACTGATGGCTTCCGCTGTTGCATCAGCTACGTGTATGCCAGATTGGCTGCAACAGCGTCTCAGTTCCCGACCTGCTGTTGTATCAACGGCGGCGGAGGATCAGCAGAGGGTTCCTCGACGATCTGTCCTGCAAGATGGCACAGAAGGCGTGGGTGTCACGTTTCATCAGTCCCCATAGCCTCGATAGCCTTGCGCAAGTGTCGGAGAGAACACATCCCAGCAGGCACAAGAGAGTGGAGCAGGCAAGGCCTGCTGGAGACAGGCGCACGGGACGGCCCAAGGCGATTGAACGATGAGCAGCGACACCTCAACGCGAACAAACCAAAAGTCTTTGAGTCGTGGACGCTTCGAAACAGGAGACTGTCACACCAGTGCTGCAGAGAGACCCATGAGCACAGCCATCTTGCCGTCTCGCGCAGTCCTTGGGCAAACGCTTACAAGCCGTCTTGGTGTCATCCCAGCTTCCTTTCGCAGCTCTGCTCGCAGAATTTGATGCCACGGGTCACTGGCACTGCCCGCTTCCCTCGAACTGCTTCTGCAAATGCCTCCAGCTCGAAAAAAGTGGCTCCTTCGTGGTAACCAGCCTTGGCAGTGGATGAAGCATTGTGACAAAGCCCAAGGGAGCGGCGTGCATGGGCCGAAACAACATCTCCTGCCGTCTTGCCACGGCTGCCAGCTCGCGCGAGATCGGAAGTCGGATGACTTCGGGCACGGCCCTTTCCTCCTGCGGCATGAGATTTGCAAGAATTGCATGTAGCCACACTGCCACACCACATGACTACATCCCGGCTCCTTTCCGGGTGGGGTGCGTCCCAACCCACGCACCTTTCGCCGCTGAACGATGCGAACCTCAGAAATGCTGTGAAGAAGACGGAAAGCAACCAAGGGGATGCAGGCTTGAAGCAACATGAAGGATGAATGAGGAGCATTCGACCAAGCGCACACGTCTGAAGAACCAATCATTCTGCATTGAAGGCACTGTGGACTCGGGACATTTCGCTTCTACGCTGCCTTGTTGGCAAACCACTCGCACCTGGCAGCATTGCATGCACCGCCGGTGGACGGCGGAACAGAGCCTTTCACATCAGGTCTCAGGAGCCTCCAGCAAGGATCCACTCCATTCCAAAAATAGAGACGATACCAAAATCAGCACATCAGCACATCAAACACAGGCATGTGTCGGTGAGTTACAGAAACTTGGTTCTGACAGCAGGTTGAGCTCCGGGATGCATGTTTTCGGTACCGCAGGACCTCAGGCCCAGACCCCAAACTCCCAAACGCTACTTTTCTGAACATGGCCTGCTCCGTCTGCTCATCTTCGGCAAACATGCAGAGGTCCAGCGAAGCCCGCGCACCATTCGCAAACTCCACAACCTGTAGCTGGCCAAAGTCTGATGCCAAGGTGCACATTATCCCAAGGACTTGCAATCAGGCACCACCCCCTAGCACATAGCACGGGCTGGCAGGCAATAGTGCCGTTTTCGAACTGGTGTGAAAGAGGATTTCACATGCAGCGTCCTGTTCAAAGGCTTCCGACGCTGCTTCAACGACCTCGTCGCCGCCGACGAGCATATATACTCAGACTCACACGTGCGATGTGCAATAACCGGATTTTGCACATCTGACACATCCGGAAACGCCATCACAATCTGAATTGTGCTTGCACTTTGGCCCATGCTTGCCCGGAACGCACATTCCTGACTTGTGCTGTGTCGGCTTGGGACTATCGTCCTTCTTCTCATGGGTGCAAAATCCGGAGTGGGTGCACTTCATGCATCCAGAGTAGCTCCAGCAATCAATGTCACCCTTACAAGCCGGACCGCGCTTGCTGGCACTGCAGTCTGCACTCGTGGATGGGCTGCTTGGAGGCCCGTGCCCCCAGGAGCTGTGGTCTGAGGGGATCCGACGGCGGCCCCAGGTAGGGGGGCTTGGCGCGCCATGGCTCCAGTCGCCCCAGCCCGAGGAGCCCGAGGAGCCCGAGGAGCTAGGACTTCCGCTGCCAGCGCCGCAGACTTTCTCAAAAGAGTCCACGTCTGCGAGCTTCCAAGCACCATCGCTGCCGGCACAGGCTGACAGGTAGACTTGGTCATGTGAGGCGACTGACCAAACGCAAACTCCAAGGCGCTGCAGCTGATCAGCTGCGTCCACAGCTGTGCCTCCACTTGCCCTGACACCGTCCATGATCTGCAGTGGCCTGCAGGGCTTGCGGCATGCACAGCACTCTGCTCCTAAATGGCCTACACAGCTGCAGCATGACATGGAATCAGGTCGCCTGGCAGAGAGCTTGCATATCTGATTGAAGTAGTGGGATGCATCCTGGGCACCAGCGCAGGTCCCATGCTTCTCCCACTCGTGCGTCTCAAACTGCACCTGGACATTCGGCAATGATACTCCGACCACGTGGACTAGCTGTTGAGACATGGTCTTGAGATGTTGTTATATTGTAAAGATGGCGTCGCTGTTGGCTTTAGGAGCCCCGCCTGGTGTCGGGCACTTTCAGATGCACTCTGTGGCTTGTAGCAAGACACGAGGCCGTTCGGGTCCGCAGAACTCACTGTGGGCCGCATGCACTTCGAGGTGCCGTAAGGAGGCACTTGTGGCCAGAGTCCATGCACGGCAGCCCTCGGGTGCTTGTAGTATCCATCTCCAGTCCCCATTTCCAGTGCCAGGACGCCACAAAGTGCTACTCCATCACCACAATCCATGTTCCGGCCATGCGGATATCGGCTGCACCTCGCCGTTTGGTTGCCATGGATCTGAAGCAGCTGCACTGCTTCGTCGGCCTCGAAAACTTGGCATCCTGTAAGAACGGCCAGAGCTGCGAGCAAAGCGATCCGGGACATGGCGAATGAAGACTAAAGCGTGAAACTTGTGCCAGTGCTCCGAGGATCTTCCAAGTATGCAGGGCTCTGCTTAGTTCTACATGGCAAGCTCTTGCTGTCGAGCTTCATGACCTGCCTTCACAGTAATCGACTGAAGTTCTCATTCACCCAAACCTGCGGATCGCGTATACAGGTGTAGGGTCCTGGCTGCAAGCGCGTGGTCGATGATGTCTGGGATTCCTCCGTCGTAGACCTGCACGCCCCAGAAAACGAAAACCGGAACTACGGTACTACCACTTTGAAGTGCCTGCTGCACCCTGCAATCGACCATGCTTGTAGGATTTCCACTTGCGCCGTCTGCAGTAAGTAAAGGAAAACGAGCTTCTGTGCCTCGTCCTTGTGGTTCATGGCTTGGTCACCAGAGGCATACACTGAGACGGGTTCGCCTGAAGCTGAACGGCGACATCGTGGAGTCTTGCTGCGGCTTCAGGAAGGATCTCTTCTCATGAAGCACCATGAGTGCCGCACTTTGAAGAATGCGCCGCATAAGGTCGAAAAAGTGGCAGGCCTTGCCATGATGCGCCCTTAGGCCGGTTTACATGCCCGCGATTGCCCTGTATTTGCCCTGCCTTTTCTACCAGGGTCCCACCAGTGTTGCGGTTGAAACCTGCTGCATCTGGGCGGTTCTGGCTACATGGCCGTCCAACAGCTGCGACAAGCTAGCTCAAGATCGCTGCGACACTGCGTTGCGGGGACAAGTTCATTCGCCGAGCTTCGATTCCAGTTATCCACCTTGACGAGAAAGGGAAAGCGATGCTCTCGAATTGATAGAACCCTGGGCTCACCCAGCTTCCTGTCACAAGAACATAGGCTGCTGAAGCATGAGTCGAGGACATGCTGCAGCACTGCCACCGGCACAGAAGGACAGCTGGCGGCGGCACCGTGAGTCCGACTCCTCAATTAGACGACGAATGGGTGGCATGTATCGATACTCCATGCCGGTCCTTGGTGTGCGGGCAAGAGCAATCCTAGTGCTCCCCTCCACTAACAAAACGATGCAGTTGCAGTTGCATAGTTGTTTTGCACAACGGACGCAGCCCCAACGCCTATGTTGCCTAGACATCCCGCGAGTTGCTGCTAATCTCCTGACCTGGCCTTGCGTTTGCCGCTCCTTGTGCCTCCGAGACTGCCAATTCTGGGGTCGGTTGTGCTTGCTGTTGCAATTCCCTTGCTGGTGGAAGCGTCCTTGGCAACCCCGCCTTGGCCTAAGCCCAGACATGCTCGAAGCAGCCGGAGGACATGAAGACCGGCGCTTTCTCAGATCCGGAGCGCACGACGCGCTCCGTGAGGAGCCGCTCCACCTCTCCGAGTGCCATCTGTCGTGCCCAAAATTGTCCAACAACGTGCCCTAGAATCCCAGGAGCCTCTTCGCAGTCCTCCACGGTCGTGCATAACCTGGGGAGAGTGTAACAAGAGCTGAGACCGCACCACGGAGTCCATTTTTAGTCGAGGCACGGCTTCTCACAAAGGATGTGCTTGTCTGACAAAATAGCCTGTGACATGAAAAGCTCAAGGATTCGTTAGACAGCAACTTGCAAGCACCTTTCGAAGTGTATGGATGTGCTGGAAATTTGGCGTGCAAATGATGAGCACATCCACGAAGTCGCAGTTGATAAGCTCCTCAAAGTTCTGCTGGAATTCCATCATGTATCGACAAGAGGATGAGAAATGCCAGCATCACAGACCAAAGCTGAATTTTCTGCTACGACCACACCACACTGCAGCTTCGAAGCAAGAAGAACCCTATGCTGCAACGCCGGCCCCACGGGTCCTCGTCGGATCGGAAGACGGCGACGCGCGGAGCCCGCTCGCCTGACTAAGGAGAGCAAAGGGAAAAGAGAGCCGCACATCGCTGCATGCATGCTTTCATAGTTGCACACCTGTTGCACACAGCAGCTGGGCTTCCCAATCGTTTACCTCCGGCCGAGGCACCGAGCTCCTCAAGAGCCTCGCGCAAGGCCGCCTGGACGAAGGGGCGGAAAAGACCAGAATCAGAGTTTCGGGACGCTTGCCAGTTCTGCACTCTGAACGTCAGACTCTGCACGAAAGCCGCGCCTTTGCCTAAGCTTTTTCCTATAAACCGAAGGAGGGGCCGAGGCAAACGCGAGATTCAGAATTCCTCAGGGGGGGCCGCGCCTTTTTCTGAGAAAAAAAGAGAAGTGCCGCCCCCCCCCCTCTGTGGCCCCTTTGTCAGCGGGCCTCGCTCGAATCGGCAATGGCTGTCACGACCATCTGCTCACCCATCAAGGCCTCATATGAGTGCTCATCTGAGGGTCTATACAGGGAGATGTCTTAGGGTGTTTCTGCCGTGTTTTTTGAGCAGCTACTAAAATACTACCTCTGGAGATCGCTGAAGAAATCGCGCGCAACTTATATACTCTTTGCCTTCTGCAGTCGCGGCACCACGTTGCGAATGTGCTCCTTGCCCATGGCCCCAGTGCCAATGATACCTGACATACAGACAAGATCAGAGAAGCGCCTTGATTCCAGGCAGCGAGGCTCGCGCCTGCTCGGAGGGCGGGGCCCAACAGCGGCTTTCCCCGCAGCGCCGCAAGGACTCGGCGTGGAGGCTCGAAGCTCTGCCGGGAGTGGAGGACCTCGTGGAGGCTCCAGGCTCTGCCACTGCAAGCCTGCGGCAGAAACCTGCTACCGAAATGCACTGCCGTTGTCAACGATGAGAATGTCCTTGGCTTCCAACGGAAGGAGCATCCTGAACCAGGAGGCCTCTGATAGAATAGACAAGCCACGCCCTTCTTCCAGGCGAAGGCTACCTCTCTCTCGGCCATAAAGCGTGCGACTGCCCTTAGCGCATGCTTGTTCACGGGGCTGAAGTCGCCAAGCACCACGGCCTCCTCGCCCACATTCCTCCAAAAAACAAGAGCATGGACACACAAAGAGCCACACTCCGAGCCTCCTCCGCTCCAGCCTGGAGTCGTTCCAACCGGTGAAGGCGGCGATGACGGAGTTGAAAAAGACGCGGCGCCCCGTTCGTTCGTCCATGCCTCTTTAAAGGAGAGGAAATTGGAGGAGGACGAGTTAGAAGATGTTCAAGAAAGAACAGAGCGCACCAACGCGCACCGACCGCAAGCCGCCCGCTGCGTATCCGAGGAGCGCAGGGCCGGCAGGGCCGCCGTCGTTACTTTCAGGTCGCCCCCCGACAGCCATTCCCACGTGGAGCCTGCATCTCGGACTCAGAAAATCTCAAAGGGTCTAGGGCTTATGCTGCTTTTGGATTGTGGGCTCAGGCTGGTTTAGGGCTTCTATGGGTTGAAGGATGGTTTCGGGTTTAGGGCTGTTCTCAAAGGTTCTCAGATGGTGGCCTGGCCTTGCTTTGTCATCACCTCCTCCGCCTCTTCTCGCGTTTTGACCGCGTAGGACTCCGCCCAGGAGCGCCCCTGCAAAGAACGTCATGTGCCCTCTACATTCCGGATCCTTTCTGAAGGGCTTTCAGTGGAACTGCAGCATCGGAATCATCGTATACGTGGCTTGTTAGTACCCCAAAAAACGCAAAGTCCACATTCTCAAGCAACACGGACCGAATCAGACTTTCCTGGAAACTATTAACACCGTACCTCGAACGGACTATCAAAAAAACACACATGTACAGCGCTGACCATGTCCTCGAATATACAAAGGCCTCTCTGTATGCGCAAGCTGCTGAATGCAAGAATCCTAAAGCTCTGGACCTGGGCAGACGTGGGGTCTGTGACCTCTGGCATGGTGCGGATGTAGCGTACCCCTTTGGCTTCTACCTGGCGGACAGGGCAGGGAAGGGCCGCCCAGAAGCTACAGCAATAGCGCTAGACCTCCCGTGCAAAGTCGGGGAAGTGGCTCATGAAGAAGTCGGCCACCTCATCCTCGGTCATCCACAGACGCACTTTCACAGCAATCTTGGACTTGATCAGCAGCCCTGAAACATCGACATCGTCTCAAGAAGCAGACATAGCCCAAAGTGCTGACTGGGCACCGAAGGGATGATGGGTGTCGCCCCTCCATGCTTGGACTCAACTTCGCAGCAAAAAAGTATGTAGTTGGGTGGTGTCGGCGATTGCCTCAGGTGTCGCGTGCAGCTTGCTGACACTTGCGGAGCAACTGCTTGCTGGCACTTCTTCTCCACAGAACTGAAACACGGCGATGGCAGGCCACGCCAGCTCGTGATGGAAGGGGATCGGTTGGTCCGGCGGGGACTCGTTGGATGTGAAGACTACGCCTTCGGAGTTGGCAATTCTGGGCGGGGCACCGGGAAACAGACAGCGATCAGACAAGCAGTTCCCGTCCTTTCACGACCTCCGTACGAGGCGCCGCACCACCGACATAGTCGTAGCCTTCACAGCCCATTGCCCGCACCAGCAGACCGAAGTCCTCCGCGCTGGTGATGCCGCCTGCATCGCCGCACGACATTGCACGACTGCACGCGTGCCAAGTGCCCTTTCTCCGGCTTGAGGCCAAGGCAGTCCCGGAAAAGCACCGCGCCATGATGAAGCAAACTGAGAGGCACAAGAAGGCGAGGGAGGGAAGGGCGTGGGCAAGCATGGCAAGCGTCGGAGCGCTCTCTGCGACAGGGCCAAGCGGCAGCTTCTGGAGCTCTGCGGAGCGCGAAGCGGCCCAGGCAGAGAGCTCTCGCGCGTTGCTTTGCCGGCTTGGCCTCGAAGGCGAGCTCTGCATTGAACCCGCTCAGCACTGGCCGTCTGAGGCAAGCAGCGAGAGCACCAGGGGAAAGTCCTGCCAGAAACGCTGAACGGCTCCGGGTGATGCTGGCAGTCGAAGTCCGAAGGCCCCGATAGGCCGGGGCCCAAAACTTCGGAGGATTCGACTCTACGAGGGCCGCCGCTGCCGGCGCCCAGGCCCGGCCTCGCCCCCGAAGCTGCGCGGGCGCTGCTCGGGAAGGCTGCAGGGCAGTAGCTCCTTGGCTGCGAGTGGTGGTGGTAGGAGTAGTAGTAGTAGTAGTAGTAGTGGTAGTAGTAGTAGTAGTAGTAGTAGCAGTAGCAGTATAAGTAGTAGTATATGTAGTAGTAGTAGTAGTAGTAGTAGTAGTAGTATATGTAGTAGTAGTATATGTATGTTACTGTACGTTGTCTTGATGGCCCGTCTGCAGGTGGACCCCTGCGCAGGCTGTCCGAGAATCCATCACTGTGGCGCACCAGCAGCAAGATGCGAACGCAGCTTGGAAAACAAACTTCACGGCGAAGGCATCTGAACCTCCCCACTCCTCAAGGACCCTGCATTCGGGTCGCACATGCCTTCCCGGCTTTTATGCCGGTATGAACCACATCAAAGAGCAGCACATCGGACACCTTTTCGATCTTTTCATCGTCCGGCACATGTAGGCCTAAGGTGCTGTCTATGCAGATTTCCACAGGCAAAGGACATACCAGTTAGGCAAGTCTCAGAGCCTGAGACAGGATGGCTCACAGCCAGATTCCGTCTAAAGAAGTGTGCCGCTTCCACGTCTGTTCCGGTTACGACAAGTGCTGCGCAGTTTACACAAGACTTCTACGACGCTCGATTTCCATTATCCACACGATGCAGGGCTGCATGCATTTACTTGCTGGTCGCCGGATTGATCAACACTTGAAAGATCACAAGCTTTGCCTGTGATGAACATCCTGCTCACAGCCACAGCTTGACCGTTGCTTCCTCAACATCTGTATACTCACGGCTGCTCGGCCTTTTGCGCATGTCCACCCCCAAGGCCAAAGCGCTTGGTAGCTATGATACAGGACAACTACGAAGGCAAAGTAGGCATTATTATTGTGATTTAGGGACGTATCTTCCGCATCGATACGTAAGACTTTTTGGCAAAGGGATTGCCCACGGTGCCTTAACGAAGGCGACAGTAAGCTTTCCAAAGGACCGCGACGCATGGCAGCTGCATGCTTGCATAAAAGTCTTCATGGCCACACCATGCAGACATCGAAGGACTACTGTGAAGGCCTCTAGAAGCGGGCACGGGTTCAGGCTCCGATAGCCTGAACGATTTCGCTCTCTTCGTGGCGCAGCTGGACCTGCTCCTGATCCAAGTACTCACTCTTCGAGGGACTCTGGGAGAAAAGGACACGGGAGCCTCCATGACCTCCATGTCTCCGGTGCTCATCTTGCAAGGCCTCTGCAAGAAAGCGGTTGCCTCTGGGAGGGTCTCAAGAATTTAGCTTTGGCTCCGGCGGCTCCGGGTGGCTTTCGACCGGGGGGTCCACTTCCATGGAATCCTGCATCAGTTCGCCCAATCCAATCACAAAAGGCCCAGCCGCGGCCGGCCAGCCCACCCCCCACTCCCAAAGCTCGTGCAGCACAGATACGACCTCTCCGTTCAGGGTCCTCCACCTTGGAAGAGTCTATCACGGGAATGGGCGCATCCAGCTTCCAGCCTCGGACACGCCACAGGAAATGTTGCAAAAAGGAAAATATGCGATTGTGGCACGCAGTGAGAGCGAATGAGACTGGTTGCAATCATGTTTCAACGATCATGCGGTACAGCATGAGAAGCGAGAAAGGAAGGCAGGCCCCATTCCGGATATGGATAAACTCTGTTCCACAGGCAGTGCTTGTCACCTCCCCAGTCATCGTAATATGCCCAGTCTTTAAGAGGTCCCTTTGCTTCCCACAGGTCCCAGTGCTTACCGCTTGGTCGCTCCCAGCTGCGGATCTTAACTTCAACCTGCCGGTCAGGCTCCATACCTCGCAGCGTCACCTCGCGGCTAGTCTCCGGGAGCCCCCAGCACAGCCACTCCAGGTCGTGCACAGGTGTGCCTCCGTAGCGGTCGGCGTCAATCTGATAGCAACGCAATGGGATGTTCTCAAGGCGCTTAGCGACAGCTTGATCCAAGCCGCCCGTTTTGGGCCAGGAGTTAAACGGCCATTCGCATCGACCAGAAATGGGGACAATCCCTGCAAGATACTCGCCGTAGCGCAATGCCAAATGCCAAACCCCGATGGCACCTAAAGACAGACCAGTGGCATAAAGCCTCGTTGGGTCCACGTTGGTTGGTCCAAGCCGACGCAGCATTTCTGTCACAAGTGCCCAAATAGCATCTTCGCACCAAGCGGTTCTCCAGTTGTCGTTGTGGCGTAGGACACCGGTCTTCCACAGTGGTTTGGGGGCCAGAAGGACATACTGCCGGAGATCTCCGTTCCGGAGTAACTGGTCGACGCCTCCCGAAAGGAAGTCTTGACGGTCATCCACATGACCATTGCCTGTCTCAATGAAAATGTTTGCTCAAAGTGAGTCTTAGCAAAGCTCGATATGTTGGTTTGGACTTGGACGCTTGGCCTGTCAGGAACAGGAGTACCGGAGCGGGGCCTTCGATAGGGGCCCGCGGTGGCACAACGAGGCAGATGGCCTCCTCCTTCACAACTTGTCACTGCTCACTGAGGAAATCTGCGCTGCGTGCATTCTGCAAATTTGTATCTCCGGCGCAAGGCTTCGATGGGGATACCCCTGAACATCAGAAGATGCTTCTCAGATGCATTACTCGTCTCCCTCGGTGCCCTTTTCGATTGAAGAGATTAACCTATGTCCTTCCGAGAGCTCGAAGCAGCTTACCCCAAGGCATACACCAATCCAGCCAACAATCACTATGCATCTGCCCGTTCCTCGGCGCCGAGGTCGCACCGGAAATGCTCCCAGCGGCATTGCTGCAAGACCTGGATACACCGCATTCAAGGCCAAATCTGAATTTACAAAGTCTACCAGACGGGGCCTTCTGACATAATTCGCCGGTTTCGAAATGGAGGTAAAGATTTCCACCCGCGATAAAGCGCGCGCACGCACCCACCCGCCTCGCCCCGGACAAAAACGCAGCTGAAGCAAGCCATCGAACTCGTACCGACGGCCGACGAGCCTTTCCATTCCTGGATGTTATCCGAACTTGCAGAACCCACATGCTCTTTGCAGCACTTGACTTTCAATGGGACCAAGCAGATCACCGGGGTCAACGGCAAGACGAACTCACAATAAATCAAGACGAAAAGCAGCAGGGACACCCAGCGACGCTGCCACAACCCCTCAAGGAAGGCGGTCAGCCCTGGAGCGAAAGATGCTACAAAACGGCTAAACAGTGGTCGAAGAGTTCCAATCCCTTCGGCCTCCCGGCTCAGCCGAGGGCAGTGTGCCTCATGGCCGTCGCTTTCATTCGACCCGCTGCATTTGTCGCAGCATGTCGCCTTCCCACGCTCTGCTCGGTACTCGCAGTGGTCGCACAGCTTGCACTCCACAACGTCCGACTCCCAAGCAGAGGTCATGGCTTCTGGCACGCCTTTGAGCCGGGCTGCACGAAGCCCTACCGAGTCAACAGGGCCCAAGGGACCATACAGAAGTTTCCGGTGAAAGCCTCTTAGTTTCGCTGCTTGGGGAGATCCAAGCCGTGTTCTTCAGCATTTAGCGAGGCCAATCATTTCGGAGGGATGAGGCCGCCGGAAGAGCAGCGCAGCGCATCCCCAGATCTTTTGCTGCTATCTCCGTGTCAACCGAGTGCTACCGCAAAGGTTCCTTGAGGACACTCTGCTGGGGAAGCATGTAGGTGGCAAGGCCCCAACACTCCCCTAAATGAGCATTGCGGTGCAAGGTGAAACCGGATCTCTCCCCTCTCACCTCTGCTGTCCAGTCCTACCCGGCTTTGGAAGATTTGACCGATGAAGCTCTCCACTCCTCGGCATGCCACAACCGCTGTCTGATGAGAAAGGCATCGTTTGTCGGCTCACTGCAGCCCGTGCCTCAGCAGTCGCCCAGTCCACGCTTCCATCCAGGTTCTTCGGCAGCCAAAGCAGGAACCTGTGCAGGCTTGTCAACCGCTGTGGAATGCAGTCATCGACGCGAGCTTGTTCGCCTGTGAAGTGCATCCGGGTCAGGAGATGTCGCCAATGAGGTGACAGCCTTAGTTGCGCATGACCAATATCAGACTGCTACGTAGAGCTATGTTGCCGAAATGGCACTTGGCGCTGGGCATCGACTGGATGCTGCCCCACGAGTGCAGCTAGACCCTCTGCAGACTCACCTCGGAACGAAAATGGGTCCGCGCAGTGGGGCTTGGCTTGCACGCTGCAGAATTAGCACGTAGCCCAGACACCAGCAAGCTCCGTTGCCAGCAGCACAGCATCCGTCTCTCCGGTCGACAGCGCATGCTCGATGGCCTCCACGAGGTGTGCAGTCCAAGCATCCGATCATGTCTACATCTAATGCCTGCAGAAACCAGCTGGACAACAACATGTAATTCTAGCAAGATCTAAGAGCATCCACGTCCACAAAAACCTAAGCTGTTCTGGCTGTGTCGACAACAGCTTCCAATACTGACATGCTTGCACTGTACTGGCAAGTTCGTAAGTTGTATCGCAGGCCTCACCAAAGACGGCAAGTGACACCGTGGGCCTGGGTCGAACGAAGGCTCTGAGCAAGGCGTGTGCCACAATGCTCTTTCTAAGCACCACACACGTTCTTTCGGAAGAATCTCGGGAGCCAGCCGATCCCCGAGAAGGCAAGCTACAATCAAGTCCACCTGGCCGTTAGAACGGCTCACAGCCATGCCATGAGGGACACGGTATGGTGTCTCTCTGTCTCTCTCCCTACAAGGGGTATGACAGTGATGGCAATGACAATGCTGATGAAATTGGTTGGTTGTAGTGATAGCCTGATTTACTCATTTCATGATGATGGGGAGGAAACTCGTCTCATGCTCACCGGCTCCGATGCAGATATGGAAATGCCAGGTGATGATTCTGATGCTGAGAATCATGCCGACGTTCATTGTGCCTTTTGGTCGAGGAGCAGAGAGGAACCCAAGAATCGGCAAACCGGTCTTCTACTTTACCGGAGAGGATGGGAAAAGGGATGTTGTTTTGGATAAGCTTCCAACCGAGACTTCCAGAATCGCCGGTGCGGTAGAGGTGCGCCTCTTTTCCACCAGGCTGAAGCAACCGTTAGCCGTGAGACGCTGCAACTTGGCATGAAAGCCCGGTGCCACGTCTTCGTTCGAGGGGTCGCTGTAAGAGCTCCCCATGTGCAAAGGTTGCGAGCCAATGCTCCAAGGCTTTGCAGGCTGCATCCGGCCCTTTCTTTTGTGGGCATGTTCAGCCTCTTCGGACAGCCATCCCAGCTTTCTCAAATCTCCTCGGAGGGCGAGAGCGAACGAAGAACTCAAGAAGAGCCGAGTGGACGACAGACTCTGACTATGTGTCAGTGAGGCTCGTGTGGTGGGAAAGGCGAAGGTCCCAACCGCCAAGCTTCCTCAAAAGGGGGCCGGATTGGACAAAGCGCAACAGAGAACTCTGCCCCCGTGGTCTTCCCGGAAAAAACGGCCTGTACCACCTCACGCGCGCGTCGAACTCCACGAGCTGCCCGGGCTTCGGCGCCAGGCGTTGCAGTTGCTTGCCCACCTTTTGGAGCGGGGGAGCCGTCGACGGCTGGGCTTCCTACAGCGGCCCCAAAACCGGCTCTCGAAGCCTTGAAGCCTTCTTCTCTTTGCTCGCGAGCGACTTTTGCATGTCTGAAATGCAGCCAAGGCGGCTGCTCAGCAACAAAGCTTCGCTTCAGGTTTGCTTCAGGTGACAAGGCTGCAGAGCATACGTCGTGCACGTGGAGCGATTCTGGAGATTATGAGGGTCTCTCGGCCCACTCCGCGCAGCTATTTCGAGCTGCGCTGGTCCGCCTGCTTCGGGCGAAAGCAACTCGGATTTCGGGAACGGGCTTCGCTGCTGGGAGAAGCGAATGGCAAGCAGAAACTAAGACTCCACCAAGGTGGGCCCGCGTGACAAAATCTATCCGCAACGTCGTTGCCCACAGCTTGCACCAAAGCCCGCGCTTGCAAGAAAACTCTGCACGGAACTGACCACAGAGACCAATGCATTTGTCTCTGTGTCAAAAAGTTGGTCTAGCATGCGTGCCTTAGACTACAGATGGCTGAAGTTTGGAGCAAATGATGGGATGTGAAGGTTTCTGCCGGGCGCTTGGTTCATGAGGACACACCCACAGTCAGCAGTGACTCCGCCTGATTTTAGGCAGCATGTCTGGCGAACAGAACGATGCAGCGGCGTTTGCGCCTGCACCTCCTCTACACATCTGTGTCAGGAGTGTGCTGTCGTCGGTTCTGTGTAATCGCCCCAAGAAGGCGCACCAGCGTGTCGCTGCCGATCCCGAGCCTCGGAACACCAGAGAAAAAAGAGATGTTCCATCTTCTCAACAATAGGACTTGAAGAAGCACACACACACACACCTCTGGTCTGCTTCGCGAGAGGCTGCTTTACGATGTTCTCCTTGTTCACAAGGTCCGCGCCAAGGATGTCATCTAGGCTGACAACCTTTGTCGATGGGCTGCCAACGGGAGGTACAGTCAGGACTGGGGTCTCATGCGCCTCGTCCTCGTTGAACTTGAAGAAGTCCAAGTAAAATCTAGTGTATCTCGCCTCACGGCATGACACTGCAAAGCCCTGGCATCATCGGCCCATGGAAGTAACTGGTGACAGTACCCATTCAGGCAAGGCGCGATGGAAAAAAGGGTCCAGGCGATCGCGCCCGTACATATGCAGGCCGGAATGACATCCATCCTCAGCTCCGAACCAGGCCCCTGGCGGTCTTTTTGCCATTCACAGACGGTAGCATCAGCTGCGGCACAGCCCATGGCATCTTATGTCTCAATTCGTGTGCACTGCTGAACGTTCCCGCATGGCCTCGGCACCTCAAACTAGACTAGCCTCAGCCACCTTGGGACTAAGGGTTCCCACTGCACAACTGAGCCAGGGTCTTGATCCAGGCAATCACTGCCACACTACAGCAGCAAGCCACGATACCAGTGCCAAATGACCTCCCAGGGCAACAAGATGAAAATTTTCCCGAAGGAGCCCATGCAAAGGTCGCGCCTAAAGACGATGGCTCTCTGGTTGTACATGCCTCCAAGGCCACAAAAGCCCTCATTCCCACATTCCCTGACAAGTCGATCCGACAGTATGGCGCTCCTTCCACTGCCCGAACCATGGAGCCATCTGGCCCGCGCAGGGCGAGGCCAGTGCCCATCACGGTGATGCAGGTCGTCATCGCGACCTGCAAGACTCAACTCGCTCGTCCCTTCCGTGGCGCAGGCCACACGTTCAAAGGGGGGCTGTAAGGTTCAGGCACATCTCAGATTGGCAACCAGCCTCGGTTCGCTCGGGCTCCCAGGCATGAACTCTCAGCACATAAGGTTGCATTTATTTCAATCTCCTCCAGTCTGAGCAGCGTAATGACTGCGAAAACATAGTAGATCCCTTGCAGGGCAAAGTGTGCCGTCTCCGGCATGTGGAACTCGACTACCATGACAACCTGAGATTTCCAAGTCGAAGACAGCCATGAACATGCTAGACTAGACAGTCTATTCCCATGCAAAGACGGTGGCTCGTGAGCTCAATAAGCCGTCAGAGGGTCTCGTAGACTGATGCTGACTTATCGCCAGAGCACGGCGAAGCCGGCCAGCACAGCTGCCTGTGTGCCGACAGCGTCGAAGTTGCCCTGCACCATCGAGTACACTTGCAGCAAAAGCGAGGCAAGCTATGCAGCTTCAAACTTGGGCACCTTGCCTTGTGGAGAGCCAGCTCCTTTCCTTTGAGCTCCGTCGCATTCTTGCGGATTGTGCTCGTGAGAAGTAGTTTGTCCGCAGCAAGCATGGTGGCCTCAGCAAACTGTCGCCTTGCAACGCATGCTTTCACACTTCCATCAGCCACAGAACAGGCTGAGGCCGCGGCTACGTTCGGCACGTAGCACACAAGCACTCAAGCCCCTTGAACTTGAGCTCGAATAGCCCAGGGCTGTTGGATGGCTTGAAACAGGCTTCTGTGGAGTGCAAGCTGCTATAACCGTCGTCAGAGCTCCCATGCTGCAGTACTCGGACATGCTAGACAAGGCCACGTGGATACTTGCGGCTCAAGCATGCACACTTGCAACACAACCAGCAAGGCCTTCAACCAAATGTGGTCTGTGTGAATCTTCTGGGGCAGGTCATTGGAAGTGGCCACAACATTTCGCAGCAGCAGGGTGTCCTTCTGCCACGCCTGTGGTGATCATGCATCATCTAGCATCACTTCCTACCAGTGCCAGAGAAAGACACAGCTGTGTTAAGACGCCTTTCGACCGCGAGTACGGCCGCAACGCGTCACCACCGCACGGAAGCGAAGTCGCTGCATCGTTGCAGCCAGCAGCCCTTCTCGAAGCTGCCGATGAGCCTGGCCGGCCTGGCCTCTCGGGCCCGGAGCTGCCTGGACGGGCTTTGAAGAGGAGGAGCCTTCCGTCAGGTCGATAGGACTTGAGCAGCGCCCCAGTGGATGCTTCCAGGTGCTGAGGCACGTTCTCCCGCCAACGTCTGCTTCCTCTTCTTGCGCATCGGCGGCACTGGATGCTGGAGGCAGATCCGGCAAATCACACTCCAGATCTATCACTCTGGACGGGTCCCAGCGCACCATCATGCAGCCAGTCAGCTACGGGTCGCGTGGATTTGTGTTGACCGCGAGCTGATGCTGTGCTTTGACGTTGCACTACCAGAATAATTAATGTTCTGAGGTGCTTTGTTTCCGGTCAAGAATTGTTTGGATGCTGTGAGAACGGTGTGGTAGCGGAAAGAGTGGAGACCGGCGGGGACTCACGGTATTCAGCCGGCCCATGACACGTTGTGGAAAATACACCAACACGCTGCCTCCCGCAAGCTCAGCCCCACGGAGAGCGACTGAAGGAAAGTGGCAAACTGCTCTGGGCCTCAGTCGCAGGTCCGTTCGTCTCCTAGCTCACGATTTGCAGTCGACATGGCACAGCGCAAATATGTCCATGAAACTTCCGCTGGTGCATCGGAACACATTGGAATCTACACTGCAAAAACACTTTGAGGATGCCCTCGCGACTTCGGGCTCAGCGAGGCACTAAGTTCACCAAGACCCGTGGTGTCGTGCCGGGCAAAGGCCTCGCAGACACGAGAAGCACGACGCGCATCTATCGGAAGAAGGGATCTGCCTGTCCTGTAGGGATTGCACCTCTCGTACTGTAGTCTCAACATGAGCTATGGGCTTAATTAAGCCCTGGTGGCTTTTGCTCCTAGCCATGCAGTGGACTCCACCTGTTCGATCAGTGAGACAGCTTCTTGTGCCAGAAGTCCACTCTCACAGGCGCCGACGGCCGCCGCGAAAGTCTGCACCGTCGCTTGCATGGACCGTTTGTGGAGCTCCCCCAGCAAACGAAAGGCATGCTGCCACTGAGCAGCGACTTGAAAGACAGAGAGGCATGCATTGTAAACCACCACATCGCTCTCCACACCAGCCATGCCAGTGTCCTCAAGGTCCTGCAGCATTTCCAGCAAAGCGAGCGCGCACTCCCACTGCTTGCCACCACAGCTGCGGATCGCAGCAGTGACTGCCATGCGATTCACGTGGACTCCCCGACGAAGCATAAGGTGAAAGGCCCACTCCCACTGCCCAACCGTTTCGAGAGCACTGATAGTGGAGCTGCATGTAATAGCGCTTGGCTGCAAGCTAGCCCTGCAAAGCGATTGCTGCAAGTGGAAAGCCTTTTGCCAATGATCGCCCCTGCAGGCTCCCAGGGCTGCGTTGTTGCATACGACATTTTGCTGCAAAGCCCTGCACCTAAGATTAACGAGCATTGTCAGCGCAGGTTCCCAGTCCCGGCCCTTTGCAAAGACATTAATCGCCGATGTAAAGGGAAGCACCGATTCCTGAATTCCATCACTTTGAAGCTCGGCAAGGAGAGAGAAGACCCGACGCGGCTGCTTGCCCGAGTCACAGGCAGCCATTGCAGCAGAATAGCTGAAAACATCCACTTGTCTAAGCTGCTGCAGCAAGGCCAGAAAGGACAGTGCTAGTTGCCACTGGCTGCCGGAAGCGCATGCACTCATTGCAGTGTTGTATGAGACCAGACCGCACTGCAGCTTCACATATGACACCTGCTGCAGCAAAGAGAGTGCGGATTGCCACTCCTCTGCCTGGACGCAAGCATTCATCGCAGAGTTGTAAGAAACAAGATCCGGCAGAAGCTGAGCCTCGATCATCTGGACCAAGCACAAGAGAGCCCGCTCCCAAGCCTCTCTGCTCGCACAAGCGCTGATCGCAGCGTTGTATTCGATCGCACTGCCCTGCAAGCCCTCCTCGCGTGTCTCGAGTAGATACTTCAGTGCTGCGTGCCACGAGGCTGTGATCTCCGTCGCGCGGATAAGCGACGAATAGCTGACCTCGTTGGCTTGCATGGATCCATCCAGGAGATGTCGCACTGCTCGGATGGATCGTCGCCACTGGGCTCCGGCGGTGAAGGAGTTGGTCATCACGTTGACACCGATCGCATCTGCCAGAACGTGTTGCGCTTGAAAGTTCGCAAAGAGCTGCAGTGCAGAGTTCCAAAAAGCGCCGCTCTGCCTCTGGAAGGCTCGAAGAGCCGCATTGCAAAGCCGGCTCTCCCGCCGCAATCGCCTCTTCTGCATTTCCTGCAGAAAGGCCAAGCCTTCACTCCATCGACTCGTTGCCGCGTGGTTCAGGGCATTAAGCACGGAGCTGTAGGCACCAGCATCCAAGTCGATAAAGCTCTGGCGCAGCTGCACAAAAAGCCGGAGGACGGTCTCCCAGCGCTTGGACTCGGCGCAGGCGTCCATGGTGGCAGTGAAGGAAGCGAGGCTTCCTTGCAGCCCGCTCTTCAAAGCAATCTCCAAGATATGCAGTGCCAGCAGCCACTGGCTCCCTGCAGCACAGGCACTAAGCGCAGCATTGTATGAAACGATGCTCCTCTCCAACTTAACATCTCCAATCTCTTTCAAGAGGCATAATGCACATTCCCACTCCCCTCCCTCAGCGCAGGCACTGAGTGCAGAGTTGTACATGACGACATCGGCTGACCATCGCTGCTTTGTCTCCCTGAAACAAAGCAGTGCCCACTGCCAGGAGCTACCACAGGCGCTGACGACGGACGTGCACAGGAGCAGATTGCCGCAGGTCTGGGTTTCCATGGAGCTTAGCAGCTGCAAGACCGCAGGCCAGCGTTCGGGGCTGTAGGAGCTCATGGCCGGAAGATACGTCCTGGCGTTGACTTGCAGGCTTTGTCTCAACAGCTGGTAGACAAGGCGAGCCGTTTTCTCCCAGCCACCGCCCGAGTGGATCGCTTGAATGGCCGCATTCCCGAGCACGAGGTCACTCTGACCCCCACTCGCTGCATAATGCTCTTGCAAATGCAAAGCACTGGGCCATGCGGCTTGAGCTGCGCAGGCCCGTGTGGCCGACGTGGTGATAACGTGGTGGGATGAGAAGCCCGCATTGCACGCATGCAGCCGGAGCAGCGAGAATGCCCGTGGCCACAGACCCTGACAGGAGTTTACAGCACTGCCACAAGAGAATTCATCCCACTGCAGTCCCCGCTTCCTCGCATCGTTTAGCAAATTCAACGCATTCGACCATCGAACACCCTGCTCGCAGGCATGCACCGTCGCATTAAAGATGATGACATTGGCTTCGAGCCTGCGTGCGATTAGCTGGCACAAGACGAAGACAGCCTGCTGCCAGTGACCTTGCTTCCCCCAGTGACTGATGGATGAGCAGTAACTTGCCAAGGTCTCGCGCTGATGCCTTTCCACAGCAAGGACACTGTCCTGCCAAAGCCAAGGCCGGTGCCCAAGTGAAGGCGAGTCCCTTCTTTGGCTAAGGCATTTCGGGGCCATGTGCGGTCCAGATCGCATGGCACACGGGCCATGTTGCGATGCCGAGCCATGCGGCAGACTACGAGGCACAGCACTTGGTGTGCCCAGCGCCTCCCTGAAGTTTCCGACACCTTCGAGTTTGGGGCCCTATAAACCCTGCGGGAGCCAGTCAGCATTGAATCATGCAAGCCAAAAGTCAGGACATGTCAGGTGCCCACGATCCGCGCCTGAACCCAGTTACCCTTCGCTCGTGGACGACGGAGCAAAGTCTGTCGAGCGCGAGCCAAGATCACCTCCGAACCAACATCGATGCAACGCTTACTTTCCTGTCACCACGGTATCAAGATAGAGGGGTTCAGGGTTGGGAATGTTACAACGGATGCCAAGAGCGGAGATGGGCAAGCTTTGCTGCGAGGCTGCATTTTGCAAACTCCAATCTGGGAGCTGAGTAGACTGGGAAGTCCTTTTCGGGCGAAGTCCCAGGCAGGGACTAGGAAGCTCCTAAGGGGCTCCTGAGGAGCTCCCCAGTCAAAACTTCTTTGCAGCACAGACAACAGTTGGGCGAAAACCGGTGGTTACTTCGGGCATTCCACGCCCGTCGCAAAATCCATTCCTCGGATCATGGGATCATACGTCCAGGCAAAGGTCACGCAGGTGGAGCTTCGCTGGAAGGGGCTTTCAAGGCCCATCAGCGAAGAAAACACCGAAAGCCCCACGTTGTCCTTTGTGCATTCCGGGTGCTTCGGCACCTGGTCCTGTGAGATCCTTCCCTTCTTCATGAAGTGATTCACCCACTGCTCATCTAGGCCTAGAGACGCGAGGAGTGTATAATTGATCAGATTCTCCGGGTCGCAGCGATATGGTTTGGTGTAGAGGGCATTGCAAGCGAACTCCCAAATCCTCTGGAGACGCTCCATCGAATGCACGCACCCGCCATTCTGCGACCGTTCCAAGCTCTTGTCGACCCAGTATGCGCGACTCTGCCGATCATTCGGATCGGCCCGCGTCCCCCAGTCCATGATGTTGGCTCCACGGGTCTCACATGGGTAGTTCATGCTGTACGCATAATGCACGGTATCACCCGCTCGCGAACACCACCGGGCGATGCTGTGGAAGGTAGTCGGCTTCATGTAATCCACTACGTTATCCCAGCTCATGGTGAAGGGCGTTTCTTTCCATATCCTGTCTAGGAGAGGACGGTTCTCCCAGCAAACTCTCTGACAAAGAAATTCCCCTTTCCACGATGATCCGCTCTGGCGGACGGTGAGCTGTATGCGCTTGGAAATGTACCACGTAAAGCATTGCATAACATCGAAATGCTTGTTCGGAGACGATTCAAGGGCCTGTAAAGAGAAGCTTGGCTCCACGGCCTCACCTGCATCACCCAGCAAGGCACGGCAATAATCCTCCGTGCTGATACAGCCCAGCGCGAATCCCTTTTCCATGCTGGGTGCGGCCTCTGGCAAGCTCCACATGCACAGGCTCCCAACATAGGGTTTACAATCGCTGCACACATCCCCATCGGCAGCAGTTTGATCCAGGAACACGTCGCCAGAGCAGAGGTACTTCAAGGTGGCCTTCTGGTCCTTCTGGCGGCAGAGGCACCCTGCAATGTGCGTCTCGCGCTCGGGGAGCTCACTTATCTGCAAATTCCACCACTGCCGTCTTGCCTCCTCCAGAGTGGAATGATTTCTCTGTTCGAAGCATTGCAGCCAGTGCAGCAAAAAGTGTGCAACAGGCCGGACCTCTTCCAGGTGGGGATGGCCCGACTCTTCAGGAGATCCCATCCAAATAAGGTTTGCCTCACGGATCAGTACGAGCTGCTCCCGGCAGTCGACTTGCACCATCCAGCGGCCCGAGGCGGCGTCAAAACCCACGGCCGTCCCCGTGTGTCCATTCAGCTCCGGCAACTTCATCAGCCCGCGAACTTCGACAGAACTGCCCACAGCGACGGTCATCTCAAGCGGGACCAGGTTCTCCACCTTGACCTTGGCTTTCCAACCGTCGCCGAAGACATCCCAACGACCCTCGGTGCAGGATCCGGCGATACCTCGCTGGCCGTTCAGCTTTTGACCCTTCTCACTCTGAAGTCCATGCACCGTAACGCCACGCCCCTCAACAATGGGATAACTGCATGGAGCATTCAAAGGCACGGACTTGATCTTCATCTCCGACACCACGTGGTTCAAGGCCTTACCGAATAAATCGAGTGTGGACCTGGTCCAGGTAGCTGAGAACCAAACTTCAATAATTGAGCAGATGGGAGTGGACCTGTCCATCATCATCTGCCACAGAACCTTTGTCTTCGCAACGGAATAGGCGCTGCTGTCAATGCCGATGAATTTCAAAGCTCTGTTCGAAGAGCCATCCGCAACAAGCCGGGACTTGAGGAGCACGATCAGGTCGTTGAACCCAACTGCGACATGCGTGGTGCCCCAGGTCAGCACATCTTTCCTGCCGGGGAAGTTGCTGAAGTTCGAAATCTGCTTCGTCCCATATCCCATGGACTTCTTGAATTGATCGTCGTCGCATTGCTCACGCCAGTCTATCACGGCTCCCTCGCCATCTGGCGCCAGGTGCCAAGGATACCCATGCGAGCGACGGAGGAGCTCCTGCATGTGCTCTTGGCTTCCCTGGTTGCCATAATACTTCATCCTGGCCATTGGAATGTAGTCATCCCTCATCCACTTCGCCTTCAACCATGGCTGGGTGCGCGCGATGATGTAGCCAGCCTTGAAGGCCTCCAGGTACACTTTCTTCAAGTCATCGGGCATACCAGCGGGGAACGCGTCAAACTCCGAATGAAACTTGGCGATTTGAATAGCTGCACTTGGACCATACTCCTTGTCAAGCCGCTGTTTGCGACTGCCACTCGAGGCTTCGTACTCTGCAAGGCATGTCAAGTGGGGAAGATAGTTTGACTGGATCTTCGCAATCTCTGTATCATAGGATGGCTGTCTGGCGTCGTTTGGAGCCATGCTTTGCACGCCGCAAGACAGAAGCCCTCTAGCTGGCTGTGAAAGGAACAGGAGTTGTTCATCAACTTCGGAATGATATGTCACGATGTACTGATTATGGTGCAGTAGGACCAGCTATGAAACAGTGTTAAGCAAGCGGCACAATCGATTCTAAGATGACCGCACACTGAGAAACTTGCGGGGCTTGGATGGCGCTCCGTCAACCGCAGAGGGGGGTCGAATGGCAGAGCCGAGATCCCTGCCCACCCGGCTAAACCAGGCTCAATCCGAAAATTCAGGGTTTAGGATTTAAGGGATCCCTAAACCCAAGCCCTGAAAGTGCCGGGTGCAATGGTTGGAATAGCATCCTTTTCACTTCTTTTTTGCCCCCGCAAGTAGAGATTTTCGGATCCATAACGTTGACAATGGGCTCGGCTGTACCGGGCCGGCGCCCGCAAGCAAGTGAGATTGAGTTTCCCGGGTGTTCTGTTTGCTTTGCTTTGCTTGGGGTCAGAGCCAGGAGCAGTCCTCCTGACTCGCGCCCAAGCGCATCCCCTTCCATCCCGGGTGTTTGTCCAGCCCCAAGCTCCGCGCGCGAGCGCGCACCCGCAGTTCGTGGGTGTCTTTGACTCCCCCCCGGGATTTTCCCTTGAAGGGCTCGGCTGTACTTATGAAAGATGACGTCCCCCCCTCTAGCAAGTTGTCTGTAGTTTTGTGCACACACCGTTGGACACGTTGGGATGACTCTTCCGAAGCAGCGGACTAACGCTCTCTCTTTGCTTTGCTTTGCTTGGGGGTTGAGCTGCAAGCAAACCTTGCAGCCCGCGCTGTCGTGCTACCCCATCCAACATTTTGTTTGGATGAGCGTGACTGTACGCTGACCAGTTGTGTGAAAAGTGTGCCAGAACGTTGTGCCCCCTCTCTCTTTCTTTCACCAGGGCTACGACCGAGGGTTGCCCCTCGATCGCGCGCTTCAAGCGCCCCCGTATGTTACGGGGCGAGCTGTGAGAATAATGCAGAGCAACATGAAGGCAATCNNTACGACCGAGGGTTGCCCCTCGATCGCCCCCTCTCTCTCTCTCTCTCTCTCTCTCTCTTCTTCTTCTTCCTTCAGGTCAAAGGGGCTGGCCCACGGCTTGGGGGTCTTTCGGGGGAAGCAGCACACTCCCTCTTTCTTTCGCCAGGCAGCACACTCCCTCTCTCCTTCTCTCTCTTTTTTCGTTGTTTCCGTCCAGCCTGGACTTCATCGCTGATCTCAACATTCTGACCTGAAGCCGAAGCCACTGCGGGAAACTCCAATATGCACCAGCTGGTTGCTAACGCTAGCTGCCACAAGCTGCAGCTTGGCTAATTGCCTACAAACCAATTGCAAAGCCGGCGATATCACTCGACACTGCCGTGATGAGCCCTGCTTGCTTGACTTGGAGCTTGGCGAGCACCACGTGCCCCGACCTCGGCAGGAATGCGAGATCCATGCAAGGCTTTTGTGTCTGGCCGTGGCAACTGGCGCAGTCCCTCGCGAATTCAAGCATGATTCAAATCAAAGCAGACAGTGGGACCTGGGCCCTTAAGTCAGCCACCGCCTGCGTACGTGGTCGCCAGCTCGAGGCAGTGGAGACTCCAGGGCCTTTGAGACTCCAAGAAGCCCTTCACGCAGCTCTGCACTTCGTCTAGCCACCTTTTGCAGCCTTATGCAGCCGAAGTGATGCCTACTACAAGGCGCTCCACAGCCTGGCGGTGGCGGCGGGGGCTGGCCAGTCGCCACCACGCGCTGACAAAGGCGTGAAGAAGGAAGAGGGAGCGAAAGGGCTACGTGGGTCAGGGGAAGCGGTCGCTTCATACTGTATCCGGATCAAGATAGTCATGCAGGGGTGCGCAAAGTCATTCTATGCCTTTGCCTTTGCTTTAAACTTCTGATATCCTGCTATATCAACATGCTTGACTGGAGAGCTTGCGCGCAGGGACTCATGCTCGCAACAGAGAGTTTCGTTGAGACCTCTGTCAAGCATCACCAGACAACGGCCTTTGGCGGTAGCGGCTTTGCAGCCAGCTCTCCGGGCCTGTGAACATCGTCGAGCAAAGATGAAGGAGAGTCTTGCTCACTGCATTGCTATGAAATCTATGAACGAACTTGCATTTGCTGCAACAACTACTGCTGCTTTACGAAGCCATGCGATTGCCGTTGTGTTGATGGGTTACATAACAGAAACCCAGATGCCTGCTGCCTGACAAAGAGCTACCGTTAACCCTTCGTGCCTTCGGAAATACACCGCCTCCAAGGACACGGCTGCTGTAAATTGTAGACGTTCCGTTCCGTTCTCGAAACCACGCAGGCATAGATACGACAACTCCAAACGACTCCTATGCCAGGCAAACAGCGAGGTTCTGATGCCATCACAACATGGAAAGACGAAAAGCCGATCGTCCTATGCTTTTTTTCGCTATCACAGTGGGATCATGTAAAAACGACAGCGGTACCTCTCATATTGCCCGTACTGACCGCTCGAACACCACACGATGCACTCGCACTAACTGAATGATACAAGGTTTTCGGACACAAGACAACAATAGGAGGATTCGGCAAGTGTCAGTGCACCTTGTACCGGGCATTGTGGATGACACCTGCCCCGAAAAAACAAAATCCTACATGTCGCAACAAGCCTGAGTGTCGCGCAGGTATGCGAGAACTCAGCGGCTGCATTGGTCGCCTGTGACCACGGTGACGGCGGCGGCCGAGGGCCTTCTGAGACCAGCTCCTCGCTGCCATGACGGGACCCCAGCTGCCACTGAAGATGTCTAGTCACTAGTCAATGCTGGCTCTGGCATGGCAATGCATTCGTAGCTGGTGACAGGCGTCAACCCGAACCTTCTGCAAAATAAACCACTCCGCTCCAGAGTTTGTAGGCCCTGCACGCCCCCATGCCATGCCCTGCTGCCTCTGGTGGAGGAGGCGGCGGGCTCGAGTCCTCCTCGATCACTTTGATTGCGGCCTGCGGACGTCTCAGTCCCACATGATCCCACAAGCATCATCTGCCCCTTGGAACGACCCTAAACGTGTGCCAAGTCCCCAGCCGGAGCTGTCCGCCCAAATGCCGGCTCTGGAAACTCCAGGGGCTCCGCACTGCAGGGAATGAGGATGCAGACTCCAACAGCAAGCGGCAGCAACGGCGGGGAGATTGAGATTTGAGGCCTTGGTCAATGGGGTCGCTACAGAAATGGGAAGCTGATCGGAACAAATCCCACCATCCTGATCTTCAAGATCTCTGAAGTATCGCAAGGTCGCGAGACGAAAGTTCTGAGATGACTCCGCAGTCGAAGGGCCCAAGCCGTGGAAGCAATCACAGGAATTACAGGTTGCTCAAAGTTTGCCAGCGGCCACCCACGAACTGCCTGCTGTAAGGCTGCAACACTGGCAGCGCAAGAGCCTTCCCGAACGCAGCACAGCATGCAGTAGACTCGGCACAAAAAGAAAGCACCCCATGCATAGAGGCGTAGCCCGACATCAAAGTTGAGAATCAGTGAGATTCTTATGCTGTCCCATGTGGCAGTTGCGAGTCGCAGTCATCTCAACACTCCCCGAGTCCTGTTCTGCCGTGGGCCGCTCGTCTGCGTTCTTCGCCAGGAGCAGGCCCACGAGCTAGCATGCAGTACGAGGTTGCCCCACTCGCGCCAATGTCGGGAGGAAGCGGTTCGGAACCAGGTATCGTCATCTCAAACCCTTTTATCACCGATGTTGCGGCGGGGTGATGAGGCCAGTGACTCAGAGCCCGCAGCAGAGGGTTGAAAAGCTGGGAATCCTGGACTGTGAAGTCTACAGCGCCTCAGACACCTCGGAGGCATAGACGTCTGGAATGGGGTCATAGTGCTCCGACACCTGAGTGGCTGTCGGCATGTTGCCAGGTGTACGAAAACAAGGACTCATGCAGCTGCAGAAAAACATGCACCCGCACATATCTGGACGGCAACCAGCTCAGGCTTCCGCAATGCAGTACACCAGCCCCAGAAGGGATTGCGACCTGACTAGTTTTTTTTGCATCATGTGGACGTCCTAGTTATCTTAGCCTTTCAGCATCGACAGGGCTCCTGCTCAAAGGCATGCCGAAAGCGGCACCTCGGCCGCTTTGTGCTGTGTGTAGAGGCATTGCCTCTATACGAGGGAGTGTTAGGGTTGCTGTTTGTTGTTTTTAGTCCACAGCACTGAAATCCGGCTGCTAAGGCTGCTGGCATCTCGTACAGAACGCATCCCAAAGACCACATGTCGCTCTTGTCCCGGTAAGGCTCGCCCTTACAAACCTGCAGGACATGACTTGCACACCGGAACCAACATGACAAGAGTACCACAAAGGCGGCATGGACAAGAGCACTTCGCAGAATCGCGAGTTGAAACTTTAAACTCGGCAACATCTCGGAGCTGTCAAGAGATTCAGAAACGCCTCCTGTGGAGTTACGACAAGCTCCTTCATTGAGCGAACAAAATCTCACAAGGATCAAAAGCTGTCAGAGCTGATGGAAGAGTCTGGAGGACCCATGGGGTTCTTCGACAGTCAGCTCAACGTCTTCCATGTCTTCCTGAACTTCTGGAAGTCAAGCTTTAAATTGACCTCCGTCGCAGAAGCAAATCCGCGTTGCATGCGCCAGAAGCGCACATTGGAGCAAGCTCCTCTGCGGTTATCGACACTGGTGCAGAGAGCATCTCAAGCGGCGCCGAGTCTTTTCAGGGCCTTGTTGCCGATATCCTTTCGGAAGTGCATGCTGGACCCAGTGTCCTCGGGCGGGTCGAAGCTGATCTTGGACACGGCTTCGTAGGCCTTCTGCAGAGCATCCTTCAGGCTTCCGGAAAGGCCCGTCACCGCCAATACGCGCCCTCCGCTGGTCGCTAGTCCGCCCTCACTGGCTTTGGTTCCGGCATGATAAACTTTCACGCCGTCTACAGCATCAGCGGCGTCCAGGCCACTGATGGGCAAGCCCTTTGGGTACGAGCCCGGGTAGCCTTTGGCTGCGCAGACCACAGTAGCCGCAGCGCCGGATTTCCACTGGACTTCCGGGACCCTGGCCTTCAAATTGCCCTCTGCACAGCCCAGAGCCACTTCGAAGAGGTCTGAGTCCAACAGGGGCAGCAGGACCTGCGTTTCCGGATCGCCGAAGCGGCAGTTGTACTCGAGCAGCATAGGGCCATCCTTTGTCAACATGAAGCCACCATACAGCACCCCGATGTATCTCCGCCCTTCCTTGGCCAAGGCCTCGACGGTCTTCTGCAGCACCTGACAGCAGTGCGCCGATAAATCTGACCTCCAAGCTGAGGATTGCTGGTTAGGCTCACTTGACATCTTTGTTTCAGGGCTTAGCGGCTTAGCACAAGCACCCAGCGCGCCTCTTCCACCTGCACACGAAGCTCCGGAGTCAGGCATGGGGCCGGGGCGTACGCGCCCATCCCACCGGTGTTGGGCCCCTGGTCGTCATCGTTGACTCGCTTGTGGTCCTGTGCTGGGGCCATCATGGCAGCCACCTGGCCATCGGCAAAAGCCATGCAACTGCACTCCTCCCCAATCAAAAGCTGCTCCACGACCAACTCGTCTCCGGCCGCTCCGAAGACTTTGTCAACCATCACTTCTTTCACCCCTGCCTTGGCCTCCTCCAGAGACTGTGGCATGAGGACGCCCTTCCCCGCTGCAAGACCACTGGCCTTCACAACCACCTCCCTTCCGGCTGCGTATTCATCCTCCACGTACTTCAGGGCAGCTTCATGCTCCCCAGACTTGAAGTTTCTGTAGGCGGCTGTTGGCAAACTGTACTTTGCAAAGAAATCCTTCGAGAAGGCCTTGGAAGCCTCGAGCTCAGCCGCCATCTTCGTGGGCCCGAAACAGGGCAGCCCCGCCGCTGCGCAGGCATCAGCCAAACCCGCAACCAGCGGTGCCTCTGGGCCGACGAAGACTAAGGCCACCTGCTTCTCCTGCGCCACCTTCACCAAGCCGGCCACGTCACCATCGCTCACCGCGAGGTTGCTCATCCGGTCTTCTTTGCCGGTGCCTCCATTTCCGGGTGCGCAGTAGACATGCCGGACTTTGGGCGAGTCGCGCAACTTCACTGCGATGGCATGCTCACGGCCGCCGCCACCAACGACCAGGACGTCAGCCATGGCTACCGGGACCAAGTGCCTGAGCCAAGAAGCTGAGCACCTGGATTAGTGGATGGAGCCTGCCCGGGTCGCTTGCAGGGGACATTCGTATGTCAGTGCCTTTGCAGGGCCCCTGCCTCCGGCGACATGTAATAGGGAGTCCCAAGCATCGTTGCAGCCACCGCGGTGGTGCTTTCCAGAACTCTGGCAATTCCGAAGTCACCCACCTGGCTCAAGCAAGCAACTGCTGACCGAGCTAACCTTGTCGACAGTGTCAGCTATGCCCGTCACCTTCACGATACGATGGTCTTGGTCGAGCAGCCTTGGATTGCACAGCTGCAGCAGAGAGAGAGTACGCTAGCATAACCAAGCAGACATGCAGACCAGGAGGCATGTTGGATGTCTTGAGGTCACGATGAAGTATTCTGCAGGAGTGGACCTGCGACTTTGGCTTCGGATATAGCAGACTTCGACTTGACTCAAAACGTGAAAGGTTGAAGGAAGCCTTCCGAGAGCAAGTACGTGCTCAATGCACATCTCCACAGAAACTCAAGCATCCTGTGTGTTTGTCGGACCTTTTGACCAAAGCTACAGCCAAAGAGACTTTCAGTAAGTTGGACCTCATTGAGTCATTCTTGTGGCAAAGGAGGCTTAGATTCAATCTAGTAGACACTTTGGTCGGAGAGAGCATCGTAGCTTTGTCCTGGGACCCCTTAGAAGAGTTTCGTATGTCCGTTTCGTGTTGCTGTCCCCCGCTTACTCGTGTTAGACGTAAGACTTCTGCTGCTTGTAGACTCACGATGTTGCAGTCAGAGCAGTTATTCATGGTATGGTTCCTCCACAAGCAAGACGCGTAGTGTTCTGCCCTATACCAGTGCTCATGGCATGCCGCATCACCTTTTCTATATCTGCCTCTACATTTTTCGTGCATGAGGACGATGGTTTAATTCAGAGCGTGTGCAATCTGATGTACGTACGAATTGGCCTGCCTTGGCGCGTGACCTTTTTTTTCAGCTTCCTTTCATCAATAAACCTGATCTCTCTGATGATGCCAGTCAGTCCTCTGATTCGATTGCTTGTCGCTTTGTCAGATACTCTGAACGTGTGCAGTCAATTCCACCTCAATCGCACACAGGTTGGATAGATTTTGCTCGTGGCCCGATTTGCGCACATCTTGCTGTTCCAACTTCCAACTTGGAATCACGTTTCAAGGTAGCTGCCCTTGCAGCTAGCCAGTGCGAGTGACAAATTGCTGAAGCAGTACAGATGAACTTGTCAGGAGCTAGCAGCTAGCTTACACGCACCCAAAACGTAACTGAGTGCTCGCTTAATCCGTTTCAAGTGCTGGCAGCAAAGAAAAAGACTGCCCGATGGCTGACCCAACAAGACCAGCCCGGACGCAAGAGGACACTAAGCACCCGACATAACCCACTCCTTTGAGCATTTGCACGAAGAGGCTCAACACAGACTCTTCCGGCAGGCGCCTTCGTGGGAGGACTCTGACGGCATCAAAAAGCTGGGAACTTGGCGCCCGACTCTTCCGCCGCCGCACAGCTCTCGAGCCAGACTCTCAGGTCGCCGCCTGGACGAGACGCCGCATGGTCATCTCATGGTCATCTCAAGATCCTGAGGCCATGTGGACGGTCCTGCACAATACTCCATGACGTTGACGAGTGCTTCGCCCGTGTGGGGGGTCGTTCCTGAATGCCGTAGCACCCCCTTGGACGTCTGACTGCCAACAATTGCTGCATGAATCTGGAATCGCTTTCGTGCCTCTGTGATGGAGGAAGGATGTGTGGTGTTGGACCTCGGGGAGAATCAACTTCCACCGCAAAAAGATGATGCTGCACATCCTACCATGCAACGTAAGCAGCCCACCACATTTGGATGCTTGAGCCTCAGCTTTAAGTCAACTCAGAAGCACATGCTGTGTTTTCTTGGATCTTGGTTGCTGCTTCCGAACTTGGATAACTACGCCGCTACGCCCATTCATCCTGGGTCATTCTCTACATCCCCAATATTCGTCAGTTGGATTTTCAACATGTGTCCAAAGATCCAGCTGCTGGCTGCTTCGACCCAGGCCTCTTCAAGAGCTCCACCTCCTGCAAAGCCAAAGCGCGGTCTTTGTCCTGCAGACAGCAAAGGGCTGGGGATTTCAGCTGCATTCATATGGGCGAGGAATGGCGGATCACGCTGCAGGTTTAGGTTCCAGATTCAGTCGATGAGCTTGCCGACACGAAATGAGCGGCTTCTGCCCACCTACTATCGAGACTTGGACATCTGCATTAGATGCTAATCCTGCCCAACCTAGAGCAGCATGCCCTTGACGGTTGCGGTCACCGAAAAGCCGGTAAATACATAAAAAGCCGAAAAGCGGAGGCAAGTCTTCCCGAAAGCAGTGCCAGTCCTTGAGATGATCAAGGAAAACGACTTTGGCCACCACCTTCCGTCACTTCAGGCTTGTTGTTCCATAGCCCGGCATGGAGCGGCTGAAAGGCAAAATCGCCCGGGCCAAGCCTGCTCAGGCTCCCCGGGTTTGTCTGTGCATTCCACAAGATGCCTGAATGGCCGAGCCGCTGAGCATCGCTGAGCCCTTGAGCAGAACTTTAGAGCCACGGACAACTTTGAGTCCCTGGCGCCGTGCCGTACTGGCCTCTTCCCAGCAAGCGGATGCAGCGGAAGCCTCCGGCCTCATGGCGCCAACTGCTGGTTGGCAATGGCAGAAGTTGCTCCCTCGACGATGAGGTGCACTCAGAAGCAGGCCGCTAAGATCTGCAGTTCGGGGCGAATTATTGTCACCTCCTCAGCAAGCAAAGGCCAAAACAACTGCCTTTAGCACTGCTTTCCACGCTTCCTCGCACGGCGGCACAGCACTCGTTTTTGTTCCCAGCTCCAGCGCTTCTTGCTCCTGAAGCCATTTTGCTAGAGTGTTCGATTGCGGCGACGCGCTCTTGCACAGTGATCGCCGGAGCCTGACACATGTGCCCAGACGTTGCACTTCTGCCTACTACTGCAGGACTGCCATTTGCCGACTAATTCCCAGGCTTTTGCTCCGGCCTCCTTTGGATTGAGGGGTGCCCCAGCTCCATCACCTCGGAGCGGAAGCTGCTGAAAAGTGCAGGGGGCGGTCACCAGAACCAGGCAAGTCACGGACTTTGGAGGCATTTGCTGCACCGCTTGCGGCTGCAAGGCGTTGGATTTCCAGGCAGTCCATCTGAAGATCTGCTGCAAAGACCTCCCAGAACTCCATCACTTCGTCCAGGCTACTGGCACCCATCTGCCTGGACCATCTCAAAGCTTCCTCTGCATAGTGGCCGAGGAGATGAGACTCTAGCCAGGGCAGCAGCCACTGTTCTGCGCCTGCACCGCGAGCGACTGCGGTGCCCTCGCCTTCACAAACCTCCTGGAGGCACCTTCTTTCTGTTGCTTCGAGTTGAAGATGATCCGCCAGGTCCTGCCAGCTTGCCATCACTTCAGCGGCGTCGATGGCCCCCATCACCTCACACCAGGCACTCGCCCTTTCGGATTCGTGGAGAAGGCCACAAGAGGCCAGCAGCGGCTCGAGCCATGGCAAGTTCCTGCAAGGCCCTGAAGGCCCATTCATAGGCTCTTCTGGTCACTACGAGAAACGGTGCAGGTTTTGGTCCACAGCTTCGCCTGCTTAAACTAAAGAGTCCAACATCCACAGAACTGCCCCGTCTCTTGCCGCTTCCCTTACATGCCATGCCCGTTTCTTGACCTGAGAGCCACAGGATCCACCGCTACCATTCCTTGTCCGAGCTCCCAAACTCGTTGCTCTCAGCTACGAGGGGAGACGGTACCTGCCACCTTCCCAGCAAAAAATACGCTCTTACCACACTGGGTCCACCCTCGATCTCTCGCATTATGCAATGTCATAACCGTTGGTGCGTGGCGAAGCTGTTAAGAAACTGGTCAGGAAGGGGAGAGGGCAAAATGCGATCGAGCCGCTGAGCTGCATCCCGGCTCGTCTGCGCCCGCTGCCTCAAGGGTGACAGTGACAGGCTGGCACGGCTCGTGGCTTCGACTCTAAGCCTCTAAGTCGCGCACCATGACACAGGGCCACGAATGAAACCGCTGCGGCAATCGTCGGCATGCAGGACGGCAGTGGACAGCTACTAACACATCATCAGCCCTGGCCCTCGGCTTGCTGCGCAGATTGCGACTCTTGGAATCATGTGTTCGGAGTGATAGCATGTGACTGCCTGCTGCAGGCGTGCTTGAGTGGCTTGGCTCGTGCTAGTGGCAAGTTTGATCTTGCATTCAAGCCAAACAGCTCGCTACATCACAAGTCCCGAAGCAACTTGTATGCGAGAAAGCCGCCTGCCTAGTCTCTCCCTAAAGTTCTTCACGTCTCCCTGCAACTGTTGACTTTTTGAAGCTGCAGGCGCTTGCCAAACGGCTTCGGGAGCAAGACGCGCCGACTGACAGGACTCTCATCTGCGGGTCTGGCAACCCAGCTCCAGGGTGGTCTTGTGGATCAGAGTCTCGTCCTGCTCTGTGCCACACGGCGCGCCGCTCTCCAACTGCAGGGCGCATCGCTCCCACGTTCACCGCTTTGGCCAGAGCACTTCCGCTGGACCACTGCATGGACTGCGCATGTTTCAACGGTGTGCGATCACTTAACTAGCGGATTTGGCGGAAGGTCAGATTCAGGCGCCCCGGTAGGCTCGCCAAGTCTCCTTGGAGCTTCTTCGGGGTGGTGTTGGGGAAAACTTTCTGGATGCCATGATGAAGCAGGCGTGCGGGACCTCCGAAGATGAAGATGTCACCAGACTTCAGCACACAGCTGCGTATCTCCTCCTCCGGGCTCATCGTGAAGAGAAACCGCGCGGAGCAGCCCAAAGAGAGCGAAATCACGGGAAGGCCCTCGTGAAGGCTGGACTCGCTTTCATCCAAGTCCTGATGGAGGCCTAGGGAGCCTTCCGTTGTATAGTGATTCACAATGCAAGCCTGGGGCCGCATTTTTGGGAACATCTGCTTCTTGCACTTCTGGTCCAGGTCGTGCTGGATGCCACATGCAAGATCAAGAAGGTCTTCGGACAAGGAAAGCACCGGCAGACCGTCAGAATCTGATCGCACGTTCGTGTACTCGTGCGAGAGCGTATCCCAGTGCTGTCCGAGGCAGAACGTGCTAAGACGCATACGATGCTTCAGATGCCGACCTGCAAAGCTTGGCCTGTAGAACCCGGCTGGCGACCGGCCCAGCGACAGCACGCGGCGGGCCAGATGCCTCTGCATCGCCATGGAGATCATATTTTGGATATGCACGATTCCTGTGCCCAGCTTCCGCACTCTTACAGGATACTCTGGGTCAGTCTGGCAGTACCACTGCTTCTTCTTGGCCAGGGCAGGCTCCACGGTCAAGGATGCTCCCTCCACCAGGTGCTCTGGGGCAGCTCTCGCTTTAGCCACAGCCGCAGGCTCCGCAAACTTTATGTGCAAATACCCCCTGCACCGCTTCACGACGGTCGCAGGCCCAAACCTGGACGTCCATGGTAGAGAAAGACAGAGAGAGTGTATGTGGTCTGTCTTTTCTACTCACCGTGCTCTTTTGGCGCCGGGATGCCGTTCCATGTGCTGCAGAATGGTTTCCGACGACATCGCGGGTGGCACGCCGCCTCCCAAGGTGCGCGGGCTCATCTGCAGGATGTTTCGAAGATACATGAGGGCTCAACTCTTCTTTTAAAGCTTCTCCACATGCCTACGAAGAGGACTTTAGCCCCCTCTGCCGGCCGCCGGGTGCGCCTCAACGCTGGCTGAGCGTCACGCGGACCCTGCGAGTTTGCTAAGGGCGGCACCTGGCAAGTAGAGGACGATGCCGCGGCCACAATGCAAGCACCAGAGGGCCAAGCGAGCAACCTGCACAAATTCCCACGCGTCTGGGTGAGCTGCTGCTCTACATCGGGGCGGCCTGCATATCCAGGTGGCCCTCGGTGCGGGGGCGGCCGGAGAAACGTTGCCTGCTTCCAAAAGTCCAAAAGCCCTCAATGTGCACATGAGAGGCTGTAGGATGCTGAGCCTCGTTCGGCTCAGCGAGTGTGCTTCTCAAGGCCACGGTCCCCACGAAGGTCAGCATGCACTGCTCTGGGGTAGCAGTCTTCTCTCTTACATCGTGGCCGCTTAGCTTCAGCTCTGAGCAAGCAACATGGCTGCGCAAGTCCAGAACGGCACCGATCCCTTTCGCCGGGCACGGGAGTTGAGAGGTGTGGGTTAACTTGGCCGGTTAGAGTGTGGAGAGTCTAGAGGCCATTTTGTTGCGCCAGGCGCTTGGGAGAGTTGAGAGACGCCCAGCGCACAACCCACTCAGCACATGACGTTATATGGCTATATGAGGCTCCGTGGCGATGACATCTCAGCATGCAGAAATCGGGGCTTGAAGCCAGGTCTTCTGTTCAAAGCCTGTTAAAAGTGCCCTGGATTGCTATGTACATGGCGCAAGCGTTGCAGTTTGGCCTCTGCTTCGTGCTTCAAAGTATGTCCTGCGACCCGTGATCATGCTTCAGTAGAATCAACTGAATCGATCCACGCGTGCCAGCCATTACCTGCTTCAGTGGGATATCCGATTCGTCCTCACCGAAAGGGTGTTCCATCTGACGGCTCACAAACTCGATTCCCAGCAAGCTGAAGCTCAAAGCTATCTGCATTAGCATTAGGCCCCACGGTCCCACATAGCCAATGATCGTGAAAGGAAAACTGACACAGAACACCAGGAGGAGGGTTCGAAGATGCACCATGAACGGTGCCGGCGACTGCTGCTGCAGCACCATTTGGCAGAACCGAAAGGCTGTAAGCATGGCAGTGGCCCGCTCGTACATCCCGCTGGCAAGCTCTGCAGAGTAGGCCCCGAGCATCTGTCCCCGATGGATGGTGCTGAAGATGGAATCGAAGCACCAAAGCACAGGGTGTGCCGCCCGGGCGATTGCTGCCGCATCCTCAGGATTCAGGTGGGCATCCATGGGCTCCCAGACATGGGAATCGTTCGCGGGGTGAGGTGGCTTGCCGCAGGAAAGCTTAAATTCCACGCTGGCACATGCAGCATCCAGCAACCCAAGGAGTCGGCGCTCGTTCTCCTCGATTTCTCCTTTCAGCTTCCCCGTCAAAGAAAGCTGCATGGAATCTTGGTTGTTTGCCGCAGACATGGCGATGGCCACCGCGTTGATGCTTACATCCTGGGGTCATTAGAGTCTAGAGATAGGATGAGATGGAAACACCCACGCATCCCGACCCAAACACCGGAGAGCTGACCGTCCTGGACATGCTGCCTTGACTGCCACCAGCGGTCATAAGAGAGCTGGAACCGGAAGGCCAGAAGGATGGACAGAGGCAAAGCTACGAGCTCATGGACGTTGGCCGGAACCCGGAAGAGGGCGACCTGACACGGATACCTGAGCGAGCCAACAAAACTCCACCATACTTCTCATCAGAACCGCGAAGAGCCAAACCTTCCCCAGCGACCGCTGCTGCGCAGCGGCTTGCTGAGACAAGTAAAGAAGAGCAAAAGCAAAAGCGTTTTCTTCTCGCCAAGTCTACATCCTGGTGATGGTGACCGCCACCAGCCCCGATCCAATGCAGGGGATCAGAGGAGCGAACTCGATCGCTCTCTGCGCATCCCATGCAAGGGGCCCGCGCCGACTCGCCCAAATCGCTTCATCTTCACGGCCAGCCTTTGCAGCAGCTTTGGAGAAAGCCACGGCCAGGAAAACGGAGCCGCCCAGGCCAACACCGATCAGGGACTGGGCGCGGCGCAGTTTCGGGACCTTCTTGAAGGCCCGTGTGCCACTGCGGGCACTGGCGAAGAAGCGCTCTCCAGAAACATGCCAGAACCCTGCCGCCGGAAAACGCTGCTGACGCAATAGTCGCAGAGGAGACTGGCCAATCCGAAGCCAGGTGCCATAAGGCATGAGAAGCTACAGGAAAGGTTGGAAATGCTCAAGTGAGGTAATGTTGAGTTGGTGATGTAACCAGCCAGGATTGCAAAGCAAAGTCAGTGTCTTTCTGATCCTGGTCGTGTCTGATGACTGACGACATTCACTGCGTGGATTCATGGAAAGGCACAACGCTCAAAGGCATTGAAATTACAGGCAGGGTCAGAAGGCTGAGCAGATCAGAAGTGAAAGTGCAAAGAGGAGCGGGCAAACAAAACAGCTCTGCGTTGGCTCGCCATCAAGCTGCGCATCATCTCGTTTGGTGCCGGCATGGACACGGAACATCATCGTTCTGTGTCCAATACCTAGTCTGCGGTGCAGACAGGCTTCGCAACAGCCCGCGAGAATCGCTTCTGGCTTAAAGCCGTTCTTCGCAGTTGCAAAGCTCAGCCCTGCGTTGCGTGGGTGAGCCAATACCAAGAGCGCCCCAGTTCCGCCTTGCTCTGGATCTGCAGATGTCAGGAAAGCTGGCGTTGGCGCAGGCCTCGATTTTGAACTTCACGATCTCCGCGGCCAAAACCGGTCTGGTCGGAAGACTCCAAGGGGATCTAGGACAGCATCGCTATTGCCCCGCCGGCACAGCTTGCATCCAAGTGTAGTAGCTCCTCAGCAATTCTGACAAAGGAGGGTATCAAAAGAAATCGGACAATGTCATGCTGATGTAGTCTCTCGTTGTCTAAGAAACTTGCATGTTGTGCATGTTCTGAGCGCAGCCATGCCATGCATGACCACACTGTCGGATTCAGCCCAGGTTAGACTCCAACCCAAAACCCACAGCCGGCAGACCCGAGCATCATGGATCCACCATGGTTTCGGCGCCTTTGCTTCTCTGCCTGGGAGGTGGGCACAGCAAGACGGTCTCCCATCACCCTGCAAGTTACCTTTGCGGAGCTCACAGGGCTTAAAATCGGGGGCCTAAGGAGGGACCGGGTAAGGGGGCCAAAGTAGCCTGATGAAAAAGTAGACTAGAGTGTCGTTGGCATAGTGTAGTATCATCGTATTGTTACACTATACTCGACCCTACTCTGTTCGATTCTGCTCTACTATACTACATTATTCTATTCTATAGTACACTACACCACACTTCACTTTTCTAGGCTCAAAGCTCAAAACATACAACTATAGATACAGCTACAAAATATTAAACCCTAAACCCCAAACCCTAAACCCTAAACCCCAAAAACTAAACCCCAAACCCCAAACCCTAAACCCTGTATAGAGATCTGGGAGCCCGGCCTGCTGCAGCGTCCCGGCTTTGGCCGCCGCGGCCCAGAAGGAGCCAACAACCACGCGGAAGTCCAGGCCTTAGGCCCCGAGGATCCCCCCGAGGGTCGCTAAGTACTTAAGCCCTGCCGACCCTTCCGCTGCCGCGGGTTTTAGGGTTTGGGGCTTAAGGGTTTAAGGGTTTAGGGCGTGGAAGCATCTCACTGGAAGAGCACACCGAACCTGCATTTTCTGCATTGGCCAATCCCATTCCGAGGCGTCTGCTCACGCGAGTGGTTGTGCTGGTGTTGGCCTCCGTGTAGTGCTCACACAGATTTCCCCACCAACCTTGCGAGCATCTCCAGACAGGATGACGGGATGTCTTGATCGACAGCAACTTGAGCGTTCTGAAATGCTTAAATCGTCCGCATCCCTGGCTGCATCCGTGTCGCGGAACATGTCGCCCTCTCCACCTTCGATGGCATGAAAATCCGCACGTCCGGGGAAACTTTCCACGTGTAGGCTGCTGCATCCACTCACACTGGTCAACGGCATCCTGGGCATCATTGCTTGGAACTCTGCGGGAGAGCACAAAAGGAGGTGAGCATCGTGCTTCTTCTCTGCAAGCATAGAGCGTGATGAAAACCCCAAAATCTGAAAATGACTCTTCGAACATCATGAATCAAGTGGCCCAAGCAAGACAACATGTCCTGCTGCATCCGAGTATCCAGAAGTTGAGTTCCTCAGGAATGTGCCCGTAGTCTGCATCCTTGCGATAGGAATCACATGACAGTGCTCCCGCAAGTGCAGCGCGGGCGCGCAAGATGCAGGAAGCAAAAAACTAAGCTTCTCGTCGAAACTGCCTTGACCTTCGAGAACAAACCACGGAACGAGTGCCAGTCGTCTCCAGGCTATGATGGGACCAAGGCACTCGGTGTCGCTTCGTGGCTGCATGCTGCGACGGGAGCACCACTCGCAGCACCGGCTCAGTCTGTCATGACCAACTAGACAGACAGACAGACAGCAGCCAGCCAGGCAGGCAGACAGACAGGCTGACACGGACAGAAAGAGTAACGTTGGATAAATTAGATTGGGTTAGATTGGGGTTAGATTGGAGTTGGATTAGCCCAACTAGGGTGATTGCACAAGTTAGATATGTTGCATGGATTTAGATTGACTAGATTGACTAGATAGGCTGGATGGGTAAGATAGATTGGATGGATAGGTTAAATCACTGATAAACATCAAATAGACTATGTTGGTTGCATACATAGATAGACAGACAGATGGATAGACAGATAGATAGATAGATACTGTAGATGGATGATTGTTCATGTATGGGTATACACACGGCTCATAGCACAAGCAGTCGTGTCATCTGTGGTGCCCCGAGAATACTCTGCTCTGATGCACGGCACCTGGACCGCCGCTGCGAAGCCCTCGACAGGTTCGCCTCACGCATGGAGCATGTGGACATCTTGACTGCTTTCGATGTATCCACAGATTCCGAGTGTGTAAAGCCCTCAAGTACAAAGCTGATTCATCCACAAGCCTCACCTGCAGCTGCTGCTAGGCCGGGCAGCACTTCCTCCACAACAAAGCGCCTGAGTTCAGCAAGGGAAGAACCTGCTCAGCATACCGTAATGATTGAAGGCAGGACAGACAAACACAGAGAGCCCAGATCTACTCATGCGAGGCCTCAGGTCATGCAACTTCTCTTTGGAGGACAGCGCAGCAGCTCCAACCAGGTTGGAAAAGCAACCCCAGATGGAGGCGGGCGGTGAAAGAAAGCCAAGGCAGGGAAAGGAGGGAGGACCCGGAACTTGTAGGCGCCAAACCTCAAGGCTTAAGGCTTCAGCAGTTTCAGCCGCTGGCCTGTAGAGCTCCTGCAACCTCGCGTGGGCACCGTTGTTTCGCCAGCGTTGGCGGCAGTGGTTCTTGTTCGCCGCCTTCCCGGCAACGCGCAGCCCTGCCAATGTCATACCTGGGAGACTTGCCCCGCAGATCCTTCACGAAAGCCCAACATGGCACAACTACTTCAGCAGAGAGGCCCAGTTGGAGCGGGGGGCAAGGCCGGAAGTCCTCCGACCGCGTCACCTAACTGAGAAACAAAACCGCTCTGCACTTCCTCTGCAGTTCAAGGAGTAGGGCTTTCTCTGCCTCGCTGCATCGTGGACCTGCTCCAGGTCTTCTTCAGGGCACTCCAGAAGCTCGGCCACGAGGGAGCGGAAGTCAAACCTTGCCGGAACACCTCAGCTCCTAAAGGGATCCTGGTTGAAGGGTCGTGGGGCCCCACATGTAAACAACCAAAAGAAGCGAGGCTCTGAGTTTTTGCGGGCACACGTAGAGCGGTCGCCACTGACAAGGGAAGCTCTCCAGTAAAGCCTGCCCATCCACTGGGCAAGCTGTAGCCGAAAGCATCCGGGCTTTTGCAATTGCCACATCTTCGCTGCTTACCTCCGGCAGCACCGGGCTGTCTTTGCATTTTCGGACCTCCTCCGAGTCCTCAGCTCAAAACAACACACGCGAGGCCTCTCACTCAATGAGTCTCAAAGGACTTCAAAGCCCAAGCAATCCCAAGCAGCCACCCAAGAGCTGAGGCCCTCTTCCAGCTCGCCACGGCCCTGCTGCTCAAAGAAGGAGTGGATGAAAGAAGCTTCGTGGCCTCAGCTCGAGCTGAGGCTTCGCGACATAACCGCCTGGAGTTGCCCACCTCTCTTCCGGGCTGAGGCTTGAGCGCGCCGGATCGCGAATGCCATCCCCGAAGGCGTCGCAGTAGTAGTGCCACACATTGCGTCCGTACACACTCGCCTCCATCGCTTGCAGAGGCAAGTGGCAAATAAGAGCAGGCGTAGGCACTGTACTGATTATGAGTGCAGCAGCTTGGTGGAAACAGGTTTGCGAAAGCAAAAGAGAAACGGGACAATGACGAGGTCCCACTCCACGGCTACTGCATGTGCGAGGAGATCTGACCAGAGCGGAACTACTAACAGAAGCTAGACTGGACGATGTCGGCAGTGGCAACTGTCACGTCCTGTCACGCACTGCATCGTTGTACTACTTTCCGGCTGTCCTTACTGCCACTGATCTGCAAACCCTCATGCCTTTTAATATTGCAGCATCCCTGCCTTCTGGAAGATGCGCAGTTGCTCGACCAGGTCGTAAACATCCGGATCGCCACTGGCCATAGCTGCCATAGCTGTCCATCTGAAGAGTCGTTCTACGAATGTCCAACCTTGCTCTGCTCCAGTTCCAGAATCCAGATCCCACTAGATTGCCGATTGCGCACGCCCGTGCCGACAAGTCAACAACCTGCATCAGTCATCAACCGGCATGCTTGAGCAGGCACATGCCCAAAGATGCAAGCCAATACAAGCTGCAGACATCCAGACCATCAAACGTTGCATTGCACGGTTTACCCTAGCGTGGAAGGTCGGCTTTTTGCAATACCACGAAACTGCGGGCTGGCGCACAAGCCTTCTCAGCATCGCAGCCTGCCCATGGACAACGGGGCCTGCGCTACACGGACATCCAGCAGGAAGAAGCATGCCTTTACATTTGCACTGCTGCTCTCCCGGTATCTCAGAATCTCCTGGTGCGGTGTGGCAGGTTGGGACTAGCAGAGCAGAGTGCGGCATGCAGGCGGATCAGAGGAGTCTGTGAGCTTGCAGGCTTTTGCTGCATCCAGAACAGAGAGCAAAGCTCCTAATCCTGAGCTCTAGAGGCCTTTTCGCCTCAAGAGAACAACAGGCTTCACCCACTCTTACATTATGTGCTACGACATCAATAACAAGATCAAGGCCACCCCCGCAAGTCTGCTTCCTCGGGCCTCTTACAACTCGAGTGGCTGAAGCTGCACCGCAAGCCGAAACACCTGCCGGGTGAGCGATCCCTGCGAGTGAATCCCCCAGGCCCAAGCCCTCAGGAAGCCCTTAGGAAGCCCTCGGGATGTCTCGAACCCAACCAGACCTTGTCGTGAGATCCGCCGACCCGGCAACACTGGAGCAGGGAGCAGGAGGATGACGGAAAAGGATTCGATGGTGGGATTTCTGGCAAACCGTAGCACTCCTCCTGAGTCCCGCCACAGGCGACGACTCCCTTGAGTCAGGAAACCCACAAATGCTTGGAACTCCGTCCCGGGCACCAAGCTCCGAGCAAACTCTGCACATCAGAGAACAACCATCACGTGCAAAAAGTCCTGCATTCACCCTATGTTAAGGTCTACAGTTGTGCCAGACTGCAGATGCCCCCGGCAGTGAATTGGGGATCATGGCGGCCGAAATGCTGAATATTGGTATGGAGCATCATCTGCGACTGGACACTGCAGAAGTGTACCAGGGCCGCGAGCAACAGGCAAGCTCGGCTATCGTGTTCGGGTGAGGAACCAATTCTACGCCCCAAGGACATCCTGGCTTGATTGCACCTACGAGTCCTACGAGTATGATAGCCGGGACCGGGATCTTTCCCTTGATCGCCGTGCCGAGCTGGCAGGTGCTGTGCTGCACGAGCTCGTTCCACACGTCGCTCGAGCAGCGGGGCGGAGCGGGAAAAATAGTGAGGGGCTCTCGCCGTTTCGTAGACCCCCTCCTGCCTGAGGAGCTACCTAGCATTCTGGAAGACTCGAGTGAATTCAGGCGCTTCACTGCCTCACACAACGAAGCACTGCAAGATGATACATACTTGCTGTGCAGCAGACATGCACTCCCGTCTCACCGAGTCTTGTCTGCATCAGTATTCCAGTTATTTACATCAGCGCTCAGCGCGTGCAGGTCGGTCAGGCCCAAACCTGGACCGCTGCAAAGCCAGAGCTCCATGCCACGAACTTCTCTTGGAGTGCAGGGGACTGGAACAGAAACTTTCGGATCACCTAGATATCACGACGGACCTGTGCACTCCAGCGTAAGGAATTCAGTGGAGTGGCGTCTGGAAAATGAGGCTGCAAACCCATTTGCGCCAGACTGCTCCCGTCCGATTAGATCGTAAACCATATCCTGCATTCGCCTCGTCAGGCATCAGACCATATCCGCGGACCAGGTACTTCGTATCCGGACTTACAAAAAAAGACCGGTTTGAAGCACTCCTGGAATTCACGGTGAGTCGTCTGGACATGATACCAACGAATTGAGGCATTTTCAGGTTTGAGGAAACCTTCGTGCGTTTGCTTGTTAGGCTGTGCAGCTTCTTTAGCAGTGCTCTGAATCACGGGGCTGAACCGGTGCTCCCTCTGTCCGCGAGGATGAGGTAAAGAAGCACAGGAGCGGTGTCATGGCTAGACCACGTTAATTAAACCACCCCAATTGCCAATGAACGCCCATCCTCGCTGGAAACCAGCAGGTCAGCTTCGGCCATGACACAGTGCCATTGCTGCGGTTCTCAGCTGCAGCCTAGGGAAAACTCAGCTTGCTGGGCTAGTCGGCTAGTCCAAGAGAGCGAAGGCCACCCCGCATTGCGGGCAGAACGTGTGCGAGGAATCACGTGGCCTGAGCGACAAGTAAGCCATAACCTGCTGCCGCACATGAGTTACATTCGCATCTTCATTCCTTGAAGTTTCTGCAGCCCTTCCCCTCTTCTCCATCTTTCTAGGGAACATGACTTGAATACCCAAGCTGCTCCAAAACATCTACTGTATGGGTCCTGGACACAAAATATGCAACTTTCACATTGCCTATCTACACACACACACACACATGTGCGTCTTGAGGGGGCGAATGCTTTCACAATCAATCGTGCAACCATGTATGCATTCATGGAGGGGAATGCAGAAGCCAGAGCCTCATGCGTACACACAGTCGTGCATGTATGGAATTATGACCGTATGTATGTGTGTTTGTAGATCTACACATACACGCACACATGCACACACAGACAAGGGCACATGCATGCTCGTATGATCTCAGAATCAAAAGGCACACAATTAGCAAGAGAGCTAGGCCAGGTAGGCAAGGTGCTTTGAGTCAGAAGAACCCCTTCTCATGTTGGACGATAACCAACCAAGCGCTCACTTGCATGCCACAGGCCTCTCTGCTAGCTAGCCCTTTCTTTCGGTGTAAGCGCCAACCACAACCACAACCACGACCACAACGACGACGGACACAACAGCAACAGCAGAAGGCAGCAGCAGCCGCAACAGCAACAGCAGCTGCGCCAGCGCAACAACAGCAGCAGCAGCAGCAACAGCAACAACAGCAACGACAGCAACAACAGCAAAGACAACAGCAGCAGCAGCAGCAGCAGCATCAGCCGCAGCCGGAGCCGCGAACAAACTGCTGCTAGACGTGACGGTTCATTGCATAATGTCCATTGCCAGGATTGGATCTATTGTGGCTGTAACAACTAAACGCACAAAGACAGACAGACAGACAGACAGACAGACAGACAGACAGGCAGATACAAACAGAGACAAGCAGAGACAAACAGAGACAAACAGAGACAAACAGACACAAACAGACACAAACAGACACAAACAGACACAAACAGACAGACAGACAGACAGACAGATACATACATACATAGATACATAGATACATAGATACATACATACATACATACATACATACCTGCATACGTAGATTCAAAAAGGAGCGTGTGTGCGTTCATACCGTTCACAGGCTCTACATTACACTGGAAGGCAGCCGCCAAGACACACACCACACCATGCGCAGAAATTCTTGGGACGAAGATATGCGGGTGTACCTGAGTACAGAAACCGACCTCCGAACTGCCTCCTCGGCTCCCAGGTGCACTTTCGCAAGCCAGGTTGCCCCACTCCCAATAACTTAGCTGCGAAGATGATGGGTGCACGTCCTCACCATCATCACCTTAGGGCATCCACGTTGTTTGAGTGAAGGTTGTCCATGTCCGCTTCAGAGCCGGTGCTTCAATAACGGCCGCTGGCATCTTCAAGGCTTGAAGCGGAACATGAAATGTCGGGCCGGGCTTCTGAGTATGGCTGTCATGCCGGTCAGCAGGTGCGAGATTCCCTCAGCAGGGCATGGAAGAGCGCATGCAGCTGGACTTGACTCTTTCCTGCTTGAGGGAGGGACACAGGCAAGTGGAAATACTGATCTGGGGAGAGAAGTGACTGAGTTTCTAAGTCTACAGAATCTCAAGTCAACTGCGGAAGCTGAAGTTGGATACGCGTTGTAGTGCGTTGGAACATGTCCAAGGATCTTCCAGGCCGTCGTCGTCCAATAGGTCGTGCTTCTCGCGCTCTCCCTGCGGCGGATATGTAAGACAGGCTGCCCTTTGAGATTAGCTTTGAGAAGTCTGAATACGATCCAGACTCCTAAAGTCCCTGCCCATCATGCCGTGAACCTGCGTGCTTAGTGATCAGCTTTGCGCAGTTCAGGACGACTGCTGCAGCCAAGCTCAAACAAATCCAACAAGAGACGGGGAGGCAACAGGAGGGCATAGAACACACCAGTGCATGACTGACTCGGCTAAAGGAAATCTGACTCTGTAATTGCACTGGCCATCGATGCCTCGTCACCCTCAGAGCTTTCACCAGCACTGCCGGAGGCTGTTGAGCGGCACCAAGCGAGATCGTCGTCCTGCCGGCTCGCTCTAGGTCACACGGCACATCACTCCGCGCTAGGCCGCGAGGTTGGTCGGAGCTGCAGGGTAAGCGCTCTTGTTGCTGATGCACAACTGCTATCGGAAGAGCCTTCTCAACGATGGCGGCTCCAGTGGGAACATACCTGTCGAAAGTTCCCAATGCCCACCGTCACACCACTTTCTGGCCCTGCTGCACTCTACTGCTCGAATGCCCCCCCCCCCCGCCCGCGCGCGCTCTTTCTTCCGGGAAATGCAGGCTTTTGTTTCACTGCCCCTTAAGCCTTAAGCTATGCTGGGAGCACATGGGCTCGGACTTGTCGAGGTCTTCCAGGCCAGGAGGCATCTTCAGGCTCCCCTCTTGAATGTCGAACATCACCTTCTTCCTGTATCAGAGCGGTCACAGCATGCGACCGTAGGGAGCCTTCCGGCTAGTCCTTGAAAGCCAGTCTGACACCTTCTCAACTGAAGAATGCGGGTACCTGTCGTGACAGGTGAGGCAGGCGGCACTAAGACTAAGGAGATGTCTCTGAGGGTCAGTGCGTCAGCGGCGTCAGTTGCGTCTCCATTGAGCACGGGCAAGCTCTCACCTGACAGTATAATCACCCAGAGATTGAGTATAGACCCAGTTGCAAAGTAATAGCTGCCCCCCCCCGAGGCTGTTCGCTTCGTGCCTCGCTTGTGGATGGTACGCCACGTGGATTGGGAAGGGATCTGTTCTCTCAGCAATCGGAGCCACAAACACTTCGCAGAAGGAGAGGTAATCAAAATCTCTGCCGCACCCGACGGCTGGAAAATGTCATCGTTGCGATCGTCGTCGCAGTCGCATTAGGACTTGGGGAGCTTCTGAAGCATACGTACACCGCATGCCACTCCAAACTGTGTCCATGATGCCAAACCGCCGGTTTCCGAGCACCCTGTATCTATTTTAATGAAGGAGCTCTGCAAAGGTGGGTTCAGCCGGGGCCATAAACATCTGCTTTTTGGGGCCAGTGAACCGAACGGATTCCTCAGAGGGCTCGGCACATCTCGGCACATTCAATATTTCGGGGAGAGAATGGGATGTCACAACACAGCCGGGAGGTCGGCAGACTCCCGAGGTTTGACATACACATGAATCTCGTGCTGCTTGTGGGACCGAGTTTGACCGAATCCTGGAACTCCGCCCCACTGCAAGCTTGCACGGCAGCCCTTTTCATGTCTGACAATTACGTTCCCAAATGGCAGCCATCCAGGTGCGGCATGCTCCTGAGAACAGCGGGAAGGTGAAGATGGGTACCAACGCAGAGTTCACATTTCAGGTTGCTCTTGCTCAAGTCCTTCGACCCACAGCTGACCCTCACTGAATGCTGGCCTAGAGTTGATTGGAAAAGCCGTGCTGCAAGCAAGCAGCGGACGATTGCGCGTGCTCCCGGCTTGCCGGCAGTAATTGAAGCTGGCAAAGGCCTGACTGCGCAAAGGATGGACAGAAGGCCTCCAGGCTTCCAGAATGGCAACAGATTCCGATATTTGCAACGGCGCTTCTGCTCTTCTGACAGTCTTCACTGCAGAGAGTCCGGCGGGAATCCCTTCCACCCCCAACTCTGCCGCAAGCCAACTCTGCCGCAAGCCTTGTTCAACCCTCACCACATGGAAGGGAAGGGCAAGGACAGGCAGGTGGGGTTTCCACATGTTTCCACAATCCCGGACATGTCTACCCCCATCTAGCAAGAGCCCTCTGGCACCCAACTGTGCCTCACATTCCTCGGTGCTGAAGAAGGCCACGCTCCGCTCCAGAGGACAAAGGGTTTCAGGCGAGATCGCCGGGCAGGCGCTGAAGTCGCAAAGCCCACCTGGCAACGAGCGAGTGGAATGGAGTCCGTTGGTCCCGCGCGGTGCTGCACGGAAGCCGCCACAGCTGCGATGGCGGACAGGATGTCTATTGCTCGGCTCGAGAACCGCCGCTGCAAAAAATCTTGTTTGGCTGTCATGAAAAGCCCTGCCTCGAATGAAGTCACCGCCGTTCAGACGGCTGAGGTGGTGGTCCATTTCATTGGTGTAAGTCTGGACTGCCTGTCACGAATTGTTCGTGCCTTGACTCCAGCTCTCAATCCTGCCACTGCACGAAACTGCTCCCAAGGCTTTCCAACATGAAGCCCGTGATTTCGCAGCTGCATCGCACTTCGACCCTAAACAAAGTCCGAAGATTTCCGTGTCCTGGCCAGTGAGGAGATTTTTCCAGTACCTGGGCGGCTGCGCTGTTTCGTCAGGGTGGTCGGAACGGATCCCGGAACGGCCGAAATGAGTTGTCCGGATCTCCCGTGGCCAATGACTGCTCCTCTCAACTAGACCGAAGCCGAGCATCGGATAATTCATCCCATCCGCACTATTGAAACCTGGTCACGTGTTGGCCATGGAACGAACTGACTGTTCGTCTTGCATGCACATCCCCGGAGAGCCGTGCTGGAAGGTAGCGGCGCCTGTTCCAAGCTGCTCCTCCCAGGCGCTCTCTTCCGTCAGGTTGTCCAATGGCCCAAAGCTGTTGATGAAGTGGCCGTTGAAGGACCAGGCCGCGTGAAGGCCTCAACCGCTCTCTCTGAACTTTCCAAGAACGACTTTTTTGGGCCTCGACTCTTGTCGACCAGCGGCTGTGCGGCCAGGACCCACCGATGAAACTCGCTGGCTCTGGCAATGAGCACGACTGCACAGCGTGGAGCTGCTCCTGCGGGGGTGCCCTTCTTTGCCGAGGACAGAAATATCTTATTGGGCATCTTCTTTCAATCTGCAGCATTTCTGGCGCGACTTCAAGGAGACAGCTAACAGTGCTCACATGTTCGCTCCGTCTCTCCGTATCTTCCACACCACATCCCCTTGTCATTGAAGCACTTGTTCGTGCATCTTACGACAGCCAGTGCGCTGTGCGGGTCTCTAACTCGTAACCACACCATGCATTCAAATCACAATGGACAGCTCTCCGATGGCCTCTGTCAGCGCCACACTCCTGGGCTCAGGACACAACAACAAGCTGCAGCGGCTGAAAAACAAGAAGAAAGCTGCTCTGCAGCTCGGAGAAAAATGTGCAGCCACCGTGTCCACAAGCGCACGTTTGCCAGCTCGCACTCCACCGCGCGGCCCTGGTGGCCGCCACCGACAAGGAACTGACCGTTGTCGGCGATGTTCTCCTTAGGAACCCGCTTCCACTCAGTTTTCTCTTTTGAAAGCAGCACACAGTGAAATGAAACAGAGAAGCCAGGCATCTGCCAAGGGCGAGTAGGTGAGACGTCCAGCGTAGTCGATGCTATCTACCAACAACCGCCCGTTTCCAACGTAGGCCATCGTCGGGAACACGCTATCGTAGATGAGCTGATTATTCTCCACAGGTAGCAAGCCTGTGTAGGAGTTGGCGATGTCCGTCGTTATCCTCAGGGCATTCATCATACCTTAGCTGGCCACAACAGTTGACACCTTGCACATGATTCCGTCAGCTCAAAACGAGGCTCTCCTGAGTCCTCACGTTCATACCAGACCTTCCCTTCCAGAGTGCATTCTGGAAGAGAGCTCCGATCTTTGTCCCCGAAGGAGCACAACAACCCACTTCCTGAGAGCATCGAGCTGCGTGCCTCGAACGTGTCGCTTCGGACAAGACGGGCCAAGGCAATGTCGGCTGATTTCCTCTCCACGTTGACCTGGGAGGCACCGATCAAGTGCAGTGCTGGTGCCGAGCTGAAGATACTCATGCTTGATGCGTTCAGATCCGAGGGACAACCATGGACACAGCGGTGCGCCCTTCATTCCCGATGACTTGCTCATCCTCAGCGGTGCCACTCCAGTGAAGATCAAAGTGAAAGGGACCAAAGGCTAATGAGACAATTCCTGCACCACTCCTTTTTTGGCTTTCAACTCTCAGCCCCACAGTCTCCTTCCTGTCGAGCGACGCTGAGATATACCCAGACATCATCAGAGCTCGTGTTCGACTCCTGAGCCATGGCGGCCTTCAGATTGACGATCAAGTCTTCGAGAATCGCAGCTCTGCCTGCCATGTCTGATCCGATGTGACACGACGACCATGGCAGGACCACCCTTCAACCGGGAGGTCAAACCACATAAAAACAAAAAGTATAGGCTTCTCAGCAAAAGCCCAAGTAACCAGCGATGGTCAAATAGCGCACGTGCAAGAATTTGAAACCTTACATGCTGGCCCTGTAGCAAGGTACATGCTTCAGCACATTGCGAGCTTGGACGGCTTCCGTACATCAGAACGGAGTGCTGAATTTGCAAAGCGAGTGGCTCTTGTAAAGTTGGGCACCTCCGCCAGCTGTCTGGTTCCAGATCGCAGCGACGTGATGCCACCTTCAGCTTGGACAAGTTTCCAGTGCAGGAGGTACACCAACTAGCAATTTCATCATTTCCGTTGGCTCGTTGCGGAAATCCCGAGATGAAGGAATGGCAGATTTCTTCAAGGCTTCCAGCATCCTCTTGGAGGCATGAGGCTTCCCATCGATCACGTTGGGACCCTGAATGTAGCCACTTGACCTCAACTGCTCTGCAAAGGACAGCAGGTGACAGGAATGTCAGGACTCTCCATCTACTCGAGCGACTCGCCAGTGTTGCTGCTCAGTCCGAGCGTGCCGTCTGTCTCCAACCAAATGGCGCCGTGTCGTCGCCTAAGTCTCGGCACATTCGTGGGTCTGGGGATGGCACATCAGCTGGCCTACATCCGCTGTCGAGCCGCCGATTCTGGTTGCTGAACGTATTGTCGGCATCGTTCGTCCCAAAAGTGCCAATAAGCATGGACCGTCCAGCTGCAGGCGCTGCTTTCACGTGGAACCAGCCTGGAGCCGCAAGCCGCAGCTACCACAATACAAGGGTCACAAAAAGGAGACTTTCTCAGCCTTCCCACGTCATGTCACCTGCACTGTATGTCGCCCACTCCTGGGAAGTGCTTGCCACACAAGCAGAAAGCTTCTACAACCAGAACGCCTTCTGTCCTCCGTCAGTGGGACAATGTTGACACCCGCGCCCTCTGGAACTGCAGGGCACGGACGATGGCAAAAACCACAAACCTAGACAGCACTTGATGTAGATTTACCAAAAAGTCAAACTCAGAGAAGCGCAACCAAATCAACCGATCTGGAATGAGGAGGCGCGCAACCCACGTTCCTCGTTCCCTTGAGCAAAGGAACAAGAATGCTGAAGACAATAACAGTACTGAAGCATTGTTGGTCCTCCGCTTCTGCCTGCTTTGCTGCGGTTTCGGCCGGTTACCGGATGCATATGCATGCTGGGAAGCTGGTGAGTTAGAGAACCGAGCATGCTGGAAACACCCCAAGGCGTGAGAAATTTCAATCGCAGGCGAGACTCGCATTACGTTTTGAGGTCCGTAAAACCCTCCAAATCCCTCCAAAGTCTGAACTGCATCACTGCGAAAAGCCTCGAAGACGTCAGGCTTTGGAGGGCTCAGGATCTTGGGAGCCACCAAAAAAGTAGTGTGAGTTTTTAATTTTTTCCGAGCCAGCCAGCTGCTTACCAAGGCTTTGACTGATTGCTAGATCTTCTCTTAAGGAAGGTACTGCGCCGCCCGGCGTCAAATCAGCTTGCAGCTGAATGTACTGACGTGTGCATGACAGCTCAACAACTAAGACAGCACTTGAAGGAGAACGTGTATTGCCCGCCCGGCTTTCGGACATGCGAGTTGCAAGTCGCATCCAGCTGACACCACGAGTCCTTATTGCTGCAACAGCAGATGTAATGCATGGAGCTTGTCAGAAGTTGCTGAGACAGGTTCCAGAAGACCTCCGTCTTCTCAAAGCATCTACCGGGGCGTGTCACCTGCATCTTTGTCGCAAAGCGCCAAACATGCTGGCACCCCGACTTCAGACAGGGCACCTTTCCTCTGTTTTCGCAGCTGTACGCGCAGAAAAATGCCGGAGCGATCCTTGTCGCAACGAGCACCGAACTGCAACAGTCTGTGACCGTCTGAGCCGAGGCTCTGCTGTCCACTTCTTTCCACCTGGACACAACTTCGCTTAAAGGGCTGCGGATCTCGCAATGGGGCACTGCCTCCTCAATGGTCAACTCCACACTTTGCGTGGAGCCACAGTCCATGGTCCAGGTAGAACCTGTGAAGAGCGAACATGCCCTTCGACAGGCCTGGAGTCAAAGCCCAGGAACCTTGTGGAGGTGCGACCGTCGAGGTGGACGAGATGTAGGCTACGGAGTTGCACGCCGCATCCCCATCAAGGTCATGGGCCAGACTTCGGTCCGGAGTGCCAGACAGGTGGCTGATGATCCACCTTTTGGAACGACAGAAACAGTCATTGCACAGTCATTGCAGCATCCTATGTTGTCTCGAAGGTAAGCCTCGAGTCTGTGGTGGTGCCATCACAGCTGGGGTCAAAGTAGATGTGGAGATCGCTTGCGACCGCTTTGTACATGGGGGCGCCGCTCGCAGTCTCTCCTTGCAGATTGTACTCCTTAGCGATTGGGGGGCGCGACTTCTGGCACAGCAGCCCGATAGATAGGCTCTGTGCCAATCGTCCCCGAGCCGGCCGACAACAGAGCCAAGCTTCTGCATCAACATCTGCACGTGCCGCACACGAACCATAAATGGCGATTCGCGCGGGTGCAGCCTCGCACGCCGACACAGCACACAGCATGACACGCATTGAGGACAGCGAGAACGAGCGACCAGCCTCAGCCAGCGCAAGACAGCAAAGCTGGAAAACAGCCTTCCACTGGTCAGGCATTCGGAAGTTGGCTCAAGGAGTAAGTCACTGCAACTGCACTGCGTAGATACTCGAACCAACATCGTGAGGAAGTTCATGATCGCTAGGTACAGTACCACGGCGGGCACAGTGGATTGAGTTTTGCTGCTCTAATCCCATTCTCGGAAATGACATGTCACAGGTGTGTCATGGCCCAAACTATCTCCTGGAGCCAAAACAGCATTCAGGTATAGTCAGCTGCTGAAAGTTGAAGGCTGACGAGGTCATGAAACTTGAAACCCAAGTGTACAACAGTGTTTGTGTAAACTTGCAGGACTGCTGCATTGGGGGAGAGAGCGAGAAGGATAACTGGACAGAATAGATCAGGCAGATAAACACTGCAGCGTCACACCTCTTTTCTGCTCACCCGCACCATTGGACCCGTCATGCCAGGCTCGACGAACACTGCGCCACTACGCCTTGATCTCATGCGTAGCCTGCATCCTCAAGCGCCTCCAAGAGGTGTTTGACTGTGCCAGGTTGGGTTTATCCTCTTCGAAAAGTCAAGGCCTTCATGTCGTCCGCAGAGAGCTTCACAGCCTTCTTGGCCTGCGAGATATGCACACACGCCGATGAAGCAAAGTGAAGCAAGCTCCTGTTTTCAATGAGTACCTGTCAGATTCGAAGGCATCCGTCCTCGTTCTTGGCCCTCAGGGTCGCCGTCTTCTTCTTGTGGAAGGCTTCGCTCTTCACCTGCGTTGGCGCACCAACCGTGCCTGCAAAGGCGACCCGCCTGCATGTCTCCTGGCCTTTCGCTGTGACTCCAGGCGCTCGATCAGGGCTCCGTGCTTCCAGCCCACCTACAGGTACCATGTGCTCTGAGCATCACATGAGATGGTCACAGCGATCGCACAAGTACACCATCACACTACCTGCAACCCTCCTACCTCCTTGGAGAGGTCGCCGAGGCGGCAGAAGCGCCGCTCGGGGCGCAGGCGGAGGACTTTCAGGCAGCTGGGGACCTTATGCGACCGGCACCAGGACAGAGCGCCAGACAACACCAGCTCTGGCACGTCTCTTCGGAGGCGGTAACACGGCCGACTGAGGTGCCTGCCACCATTCCTGGGAAAGCGGAGGCTGCAAGGATGCTGTCATGCCCACACACAAAGCCGCAGACGGGTCGGAGAGCCGACTTGAGACAAGGGTCGCTTCTTGCGATCGTAGGGGTGAGGGATGCCCTCGAAGGTCTTCAGCCTTTCAGGAGTTGGGAGAGATGCAGCAGCCGATCGTGATCTGATGAAAGCTCCCACTCCATCCGATACCTGTCCAGGGCGGCTGCGCCACGGGCGGTCTTGTGGGGAACCTGAGCTTGGTCCGTGGCCCCAAAGAGGCTCGTCGCAGACTCGTCAGCTTCCGGTCCAAGGCTCCATTCCACGGATGGTGCGCCAAAGGATCTTGGAGGGTGCTCGGTAGTGGAAAGGCCCCTGTCGAGGGTTGGAGTTCCTCGGCTTGGCTAGGCTGTTTCTACTCTGGCGTCTAAGACCAAGGACCCTAAGGAGTCAAGGAGCATGTGCTTCCTCTTGAAGGCCGCGTACTTCAGCTTGTTGCGATACAGGGAGCCAGAGATGTTGACGTCTTCGGAACGGACGCACACGACGTGCCTCCAGACTCTTGTACAATGCCAGCACTGGTGTCTCTGGTGCACGCGTAAATGTCAATGCACAGTGCCAACGTTAGGGCCCCGGCTGTCCATTCAGCAGCTCCTTCGCCAGCACAGATGCCAGGCCTTAGGACAGGACTTTCCGGGTCTGCTGGCCAGCGCAGGCCCCTCTCGTTGAATGCTACGAAGGTTCTCATGACTCTGGGCGCATCACGACCCAGCAAATGCCCACGGCAGTCCACAACAATCTGCACAGCCGTCCAGCCGCAATCAGAGGGCTACTTACAGGCTGGTGTGTGCACAGGCTGTGCAACAGCCGTCCAAATGCCCGCCTGCGATGCAAAGGACATCCCTACAGGATCGGCTTCCACCCCCAGCCCTACCAACTGCTCGAGCCGACTCGAGAGAAACCAATTCCGCTTGCAGACTTGTGGGCCAAGACCTCCTTTACCATCAGATCTATTTTTTCCCAATTGCTGGCTGTTCAATGATATTTTCGCCTCGCAGCTCAGGGTTTGGCACGTCTGGAGGCCTCCTTTTCTCGATCCCCCTTGATCCTTCGTGGAACCACTACGCCAGGAATGCGTCTGGAGCCTAGGGCTGGGTCCAATCGGCGAGGCAAAAAAAGATCGTGGGCACTGGCGCGTCCAATGCACTGCCTGCCATCTGCCTTGATCCAGCAACGCCATCTGGCCCGTTCTTTGATGTCACCTGCCAGCAAGCAGAGCTCTGCTAAAGAGCTTGCTTCGGCCTGGAACTGGACATTGCAACTGCGTGGTGCGTTTCATGGACATGCCAAAGTTCCTGTGCACCTTCAGGACAACATAAGGCCCCAACTGCATCTTTACCGACGATCAGCTGGGACTATTTTTATGGAGAAGGGTTTTGGGTTTTGGGTGGTTGTCACCACTGAAAAACAATGAAAAAAACGCACCTGGATCAGGGAACGGACCGTAAGCCGAAGGAGCTGAGCTCCCAGGTGGTTGCACGAGGTGGAAGCGAGCCCTCAGCAGAATCAGTGGCAATCAGTGTTCCAACTTCGATTGCATGGTGCGTCTGCCTGCTCCTGCATTGCATCATCCAAAATGTCGTCGTGCTGCATGGGATAGCTCACAACCTTCCATCCGCGAACGAAGGCAAACAAGACCAGCAGAACCGGCAAGGGAACCCTGTAGCTTATGCATGACCCGCGGCTCTGGTTGCGAAGCAGATGCTCACATCACCTTTTGGCCGAAAGCTCAGATATGCCATTTGCACTAGGACGGCCTCTGCCATCAGTGCTCCTGCTAGCCTAGCCAACAAGAGTTCTACGCGTCTTCAAGCAAAGCTGCCCATTACTTCACCACCTTTGGCGGTCAGCTGTTTCCCAAAGGGAATGGACACAACACGAGGATTAAGTCTAAACTGACAGCAGGTGCCAACGCATCCTGCATTCTTGGAAATGCATCGGCTAAGATAACACATCGTCGATTTGTCCAGGGAGTGTGAAACGGGACTCCTTCAATCGCTTTTGCGTTCTCATTGCAGCTGCTTCCTCATGTGACATCCACGAAGAAGTTGTCGATGGACGCTCAGGCAAATCCAACATCCTGAGCGGATGTCACAACGCAAGACCTGACACTCTGTGACGATCCACCGCTGCAGCATCACGTGCCCACACAAACGCACACGATGCGAAACATCCTCTGGGCACCGAACCACGCCGCGGGGACGCCGTGGTGAAAGAAGTCCTTCAGCCCTTTCTCGGCAATGTATAACTTCCTTGATGGCACGAAACTGCGTACGCGACCCCTGGGACAGATCCAAATGCCCCTGCTGCCGGCCGTTCTTAAGACCAAACCCGTGAGAAAATCTGATCATGTGCAAACACTGGTACCGAACCTGCCAGGAAACGGGAGCTAAGACTGCGAACCTACAACTTCAGCCTGGAGCGCCATCACAAAAAAAACACAAGATCCAAACGCCTGCGTACTCACGAGACAGATACGTATGATCACAATCCTTGCACACGTGCTTCTGCAGCTGGTAATATCTCACAGCGCATGTGGTGGGCTGGTCGCACATGCAGAGTAAGCTGCAGCCTTCAACCAGGCAAGGCGCAAACGTCATGCAAAACATATCAAAACTTGGAGGATGCTAAGCTGCCCGTTTTGGTGGACTTAATCTGCTGCCCAAGAACATCTCAGGCACGTCTTCCGGCGGCAGAATGAACTTTGGGGTGCAAGGAGGGCTAAGAGGCGTTTTCCGCAGCACTTCCGGGTGCGGATCCTCCGGTGGGTAGGCACCTGTGATCCAGGGAATCCAGGGTTTAGGGTTCATTGGGTTTATCGGAATCAAAAAGACTTGAGAGTGGAGGACGAAAGCCAGGGGGGACAGAGGGGGCAGCCGCATTGCTCCTTGCATGCTGTGTCGCGGACTAGTAGGTAAGCGGCTATCAAGTAAATTTTGACAGAAATTCAGTTCGCATGCCTTGTCACAAAAGACTGTGCTGAACCGTGGCACAGCGAGTTCCGCAATGCAAGAAGCGACTCTGAAACGTTTGTGCACCCTCGTACAGACTCGTCGATGCTTGTGCTTCTAGGGCCCCCTGCTGACGCATAAATTTCTGATATATCAGGAGCAACTGCCCCCGAAACTCTCTTTTCGTCCGAAACCATATCTGTAAGCTGCAGAATAGCTGGCTTTCGTGACCGTCCGAGACACTGAGGTAGTACTGGGTCGGCATGTCATCCCTCACAAACCAACTGGATGAGGAAGCCTCGCGCATCTTGCACTTCAGGAGTAATCTAGGGGCTATGGCACGGGTGTCGGGTTCCGTGACAATCCCATGCTCTGTTTCAGCAGCGTGGCCGCTTCCAAGCACATGTGGATGTCCACCTTCGGTTTGGATCTCTTTGGACGGGCTGGAAGCCTCAGTGACCCAGATCTCAGAGCTTCAGCGGCAAACAGAAGTTGGCAGATCTGATCTGATTCGTTGCAACAAGGTGCTCGGCATGGATTCGCCGGTGGGCGTAGTTCTTCCAATGGTCATCCAACTGTCCAACATCCAGTCCATCGGCATCTGTCGAGCAGTCTTCAGGCGAGTTGCTTTCAGAGTCAGATGTACGCAAAACTCTCAGACAATTTACCTGGAAAAAGCTTGATCGGAGAGCCAGGACTGCTCTTCTCAATTCGCGTCATACGGTCCACAAGACAGCACGGCACGTGCCTTCGATGCCCGGCGACTTAGCTGCCACGTCGTTTTTGGCTTCGAGCAGTCTACAACTAACCCAGGTAGCCGTGCAAAGGCAGAATTGGGCAGGAAACATTGGAGGCTCGGCTTCTCATCTCTCAAAGTCTCCACATAATCAAAGGTTTTGAAACAATCTCACCTGATCAATTCGGAATGGGCGGACTCAAAGCTTGAGCTCAGTGATTGCGCCCGTCCAAGTGGCCACGAAGTTCCGCGCCGCAGACGCTGCAGCCGCTGCTGCACCCATGGCTAGAAGCAGCAAGAGTCATGTAGAGAAAATGTCACCAGAGCAGTACATTCGTTATGGCTCTCACCTAGAGCATTTGCCAAGCGTGCCTGTGCGGAAACCACTGAACGGTGCATATCAGCATGTCTGCTCGAAGATGTTCGAAGCATCTCTCAGAATCTCAAGCCGTGTATCGCAAGAGAGAACTGACAGAAGGCTAAGCCCCACGGGCAAGGCAGGGGAGGCCTGGAAGGGACCGGCATCATCGTACTCGTCGCGCCAGGCCCGCGAGGCCCGCGAGGCCCGCAGCTCGGGCGAGGGACAAGGCCTTTGGCATCGCTTTGAGACCCGGGCCCAGGCTGTCCAGGCCCAGGCCTTTTGCGAAGGCTTCAAAGGCCACCGGGCTCAGCCCCGGCTCCAGAACTGCAAGCGCCTGACCCCAGAGCCCACGAGCAGACAAAGCCGACAGCAGGCCATCCCATGTCATCGCATCTAACTCCAGCGTCAGGATCCGGCTCTCCACGAGCAGCGCCAATGCCATCCTCCACTTTCCACCGGCGGAACATGCCTCAGATGCCGTTCCCACCGACACATCAGAAGCTCCCCCGGCCTGCCGCAGCAGGCGGCAGCAGGTAGCCCAGATTCCATGGCAAGCTCCCGCCACTGCGGCCCACGACACCAGTGTAGGGCGCAGGTTGCAATGCCAGATCTCGTTTGTCAGCTGCAGTGACTGCATCCATGCCTGTGCATTCCTGCATGCTGAGATCGCAGAGTTGATTCCTGCCACTCCGATCCTCTCGCAGCGTATTGCGCTGACAGCCCGGCTCCAACACATGCCTCTCTCAAACGCATTGACGACCGTCCTCAAAGAGACGGCATCGGCCTTGACAGCCTCCCTGCCCAATGTTGAGATGATGAATAGTGTCGTCTCCCAGCGGCCTCCTTTGCTACATGCTGCCGCAGCCACGTTGTTGCAGCGAAGCAGGCCGTCCAAGGAGGCTTGCGAAGCTCCAAGATGGTGATGCTGCCAGCTCTCCATGCTCAGGGCTGCCCATCGCGAGCACCTGCTCAAGGCAGTCAGGACTGCGTTGCAACTGACGAGATCCGCAAGATCTCGCCATTTGGCTACGAGACCAAGAGAGCGAGTCCATGCAGCTGTATTCGCGAAGGCACTCAATACAGAATTGAGCGCAAAAGCTCCTGGCCGCAGCCCAATCTCGGTTTGAAGGATTCCGAATGCGCCCGCAGCAGTTCGCCATGCTGAACCCTTTTCCAGAGCACTCAACCGCGAACTGACCAGCATCAAATCGGGCTCGAGGGCACCGTCGATCTCGGCCTTTGACAGAAGGAGTGCACACATCCACTTCGTGGCCTTTGCCTGGGCAGCCGTATGCGATGTGACACGTTGAAGTGTTTTGCGGGCATCGGTGCCGTATGGCATCATGAACCATGGCGCTGGCACTGCAATGGCAAGGAAAGCCGACGCCCCGTCACCAGTTCTGCAAGTTGCAAAAAGCTGACAGCATCCACAACAACATGCACCGCCACGGGCGCTTGGACTCCATCTGCTTAGTTACTGCTGCATCAAGCAAGCTTCTTTTTGCCGGTCCGACCTTGGCGTCTCAACTCGCCTGCAGATTCGGGGTCTGAGCTTCAGGACAGCGCGCTTGGCTTCCGCGTTTGAAAAGACTCAACATGTAAAGTGGCGGACCTGTGTGCGAGTCCTTCTTGCTCGTGAGCCCCGGGCTTTCCGAAAGCGAGCCTTCTGCCCGTCTTGGCTTTCGGAGGTCCTCTAAACGTCGGACTTCTAGGATCTAGGGCCTAGGGCCAGCAGAGGAGGGCCCTGTCTAAGCCTAAGCTAAACGTCGCCAGTGCAAATTCCAGTGCAGCGAAACTCACGGTATCCGCCCTCAATTCACCTTGGTGTCGGCAGAACACGACAACTGGTCCATTCACCACTACATGATCCCGAGAGGGAAGCTGGGGTGACAACTTCTTCGACCTTCTAGGAGAGCAGGAAGGCACACTGCCTGAAAGCGGCGCACACAGTCACAACGCAGTAGCGAGGCTCTGTCGAACAAGCTAGGTCAGGTACCCCTCTCGCATGGCAAGATGTAGCTTCTGCTTCAGCATCTCAGCTGAGCTGTACCTCTCCATTCTAGGCGGCACCAGCGGCAGGATGCCTGCGGCCGCAAGTACTCAGCTCCCAGGCAGGGCACTCAGGCAGCTTCAGGTAGTTTGCACACGTCATGACCGAGGGCATGAAGTCGTCTGCCCTGGCATGCTGATGCGCATTCTCGGCTCGAGGATGTCTTGCAAGCTGGCAACAAAAAGAGCGCCACAGGCACGTGAGTGGAGCAGACGGGGCTTCCTCAATACACCAGGCCCAGACAGAACAAGGCATCCAGCGTTGTACTTCCATGCAGCACCCTCGCAACAGTGGTCCTTTTTGACAACAGTCAAGGGCGGCTTGAGGCCGCTGAAGCCGCCGATGGGCAGTGTGGGTGCACCTTAGCACACGCCTCGCTCCGTCTTTGCAAAGGGGAAGGCCGGATAAAGCACACCAGGGCTTCCACCAGTTGCAAACATCAGGAAGTTTCGCCTCAGGGCCAGCTGCATCAGCAGAAGCTTCTATGTTGCCAGAGTTCCCATAAAAAAAATGCAGCCAGCCTGTTTTCAGCTGACAACTCGGAGAGGAAGTTCATCAAGTCTTTAAAGCACCTGTGCCAGCCGAGCACATCCCTGGCCCTGCCACGAGATCCAGGCTTTTAGTGCCATGCAGCCTGCCTTGAGTCGGTTGTGTAGCCGTGATGTGCCTGGCCCAGCGGGGCGCGTACCCGAAGCTACCCTTTTGTAGAATGCCGGTAAGGCCCAAAACGGCCTTGATGTTCGCTGCAAGATGGTCTATGCACCAGAAGGCATCGTCCTGAACAGAGGAGCCGACGATGATGAAGGAGAGCTCCTGGCAGTGCTCGTATCACTGGGACACCTTCGATCATCTGAAGAAGCACTCCTGCTCGGACCAGATGCGGCATGTCTCCAGGGGCAGAAGCTCCTTGAAAGCCTGGCATTGTCGGATGCATCCACGGAAAGTCTTTCCACCCGGCCAAGCTGCTTGTCAGAAAACGCAGAGACATGCTCGAACGACACACGAGCACAAGACAGACCCCCCAAATTGAGGGCTTCAGAACAGCTTCCGCATGCTTGCATCCAAGCTCGTGCAACAGCCACCACAGCCCCTAGAAAAACCGAGCAGCGATGCGGCGTCCATCCCAGTTTGCTAGCAAGATCTTAAATTTGAGGGAAAATGTATGAAATGGCACAGGTGCCAATGCAGACGAGACTGCACCGTTCATTTCCTTGCGTCAACGTCTGCTCGCACGACGGCACAGCACCGCCGAGCTTTACTTTACTCCCTAGTCGCATGACAGTACAGGGCCACTTTAAGGGGTCACTTGGAACAGACAAATCCAGTATGAGAGGAAGGCAGTGCCAGACCAAACACAAAGATACCTTCGAAAAGAAGCCATGCGACCAGAATCATAATCAAGACAGATCCACTGTTCGGAAGGCGTTGATCTGAGGCGCGACAGCCTCGACCAGTGCCACCTCCCAGGAATGCGAGATGACCCGGATGAGAAACTGTCTCCCCAACAAGCTCAGAGATCCGAGTTTTGTCAGACTTGTCATTTGCCTCCGCAACACGGTGCAGGTATTCCTCGCGATTGGAGCCTGCCATCGAAACGAGATTCAGCCAGCAACAGAACACGAGATGAAGAACAGCAGGCTGGTCCCTGGGGCTGCTGCCGTTCAGACTATATCCAGCTCCTCCTGGCTTGAGCTCGATGCTGGGGTGGCCTGCTGACAGGACCAGTAGAAACAAACCCGCTTACGTGCTCTCACGCTTCCCCTGCTCGTTACCGCTCAGTGGAGCTTCAAAGTCGCTTGCTCACCAATACCCTTCCTCGGCATAAAGGTTAGTTTCTGCCACCTCGCCTGGCAAGCAAAGATCTTCGATAACTCAAGCTTATTTCCCTCTCTCCCCCTCTCTCCTTCTTCTCCACACACTTCTGCACAGCAGGGGCGAGCCCGCTTCGCAGGGATTTTCGGAATTGCTCACCCTTTCTTTCAGCAGGGTTAGGGGCAGAGAGGTTTCCCCCTCTGCCCGCGCGCCAGTGGCGCCCCCGACTGGTGCGGAGGAGGTTTGAAGGAGAGCGCTCAACATGAAGGCCACATTTAAGCCTCATCTGTGCCGGCTGAGGCTGCTCTCAAGGAAGGCAACTTCTCCCTCCTATTGTTTATTGCTCACCCTCTCTCTCTCTCTCTCTCTCTCTTTCGCCAGGGCTATGGACAAAGGGAGCAGGTTCCCTCTCTCTCTCGCTCTCTCTCCCTCTCGGCCTGGCATGGTGAAGTCGATGCACAGCCCCTCGAGCTTGTCGGCATCCATGTCGCGAATGTTCTCCAGCGAAGAATGCAACTGACAGGCCGGGTCGTAGTTTTAACATGCGTCACGCTCGCTGTGTTTTTATGATGTCACTTTGCCGTGGTACATCTTGGTGAGCTTCCTCTGGCCATCTTGGGTTCAAAACAAGTGCTATGCAAAGGACGCGTTGTCCAAATTCTACATGTTAAGTGCCATTTCCTTTTGGTCGAAGTGCGAACTGCGCCAGGCCGGGCACACGGCTCACATAAACCAGTTCCGGGATGCACACTTCTGCGCCCCCCTCAAACAACTGAAGTCGAATCAAAAAGAATAGGCAGGCGAGGGCGGGAAGTCGATGCTCGTTCCTAAGCGCAAACGTGCGCTACCAGGCAAGCAGGTCCCGCCAGAAAGATTGAAGCAAGGGCCCTGATGAGATCGGAACTTGCAGCACACGATTACAACACAACGCGTTTGTTTAGGAGTGAAAAAGCGAATTTCCAAGCTGCCCAGCCAAACAAGAAAAGAAACACTTCTGGTCTGCCTCCGTTTCATTAGTGCCCAAGCCTCCGGATCAACGGACCGCAGCCATTGCTGCGACAGGGGCGCACTTCCTGAGACATCTGGCCATGCCCATCGCAAGCCCTTTATGCAACCGGACCTGACAAGTAACTCGGGACAAAGGAAGCTCGGCAAGCGACCCAGCACAGACCGCCAGAATGCAGGATGCAGCCTGGGCGAGACGAAGGGGCTTTGTTGCGGTCTCTGGAGTGCTGACACACACGCAAAGATGCAGACTGGATGTCCACTAGCCGATTGTCGATGATGCATTTTGCCACCACCTGGCCCAACAGCCTGTCGCAAGACCGAAACCGGGGCTTCTGCAACGGTTTACGTACGATATGCTCCCACACGACATGTAGCGGCGCAGCGGCTTGCCACCTCGCCTGAAGCGCTCCAGGATCTGCTGAGAGCCCTGGCAAGGGGACATCCTCTTCGTCGCACTTTACAATGCTGACAGAATAGGCTGCGAATGCCGGTATTATATTTCGCATAATATGGCACATGCCAAAAGCCCGATGGCGAAAGCCTGCTCGTCAGCTCTGCGAAGCCAGTGAGGGTCGTAAGGCTGCGGGTACAGCCTCACTAAAACTCATCGCTTCTCTACCTCTCAGGCACTGTCCAACCGGAAACATTGCTGCCGTGCGACATGCCCCCAGGTGTACTTGCTCGAAACAGCTGCGGCTGTAGAGTCCTGGGCTTGCATGCTCGAGCATCTGCGGAAATCTGAAGAACGACAGCCTTTGACACGACTACGAGTGATAATACCGGCCTTCGGTTAAAAGAAGCATGACTAAGCACGTCACTAAATCATGCACACCCACTCAACTATCTTCAGCGCATGAATGCATCAATCGACATGCCCCTTCAGCTTGACATGCTTTGCCCCAAGCCCTCCCAAGCCATCTCCTCAAATTCTCGGCCACAAGAGCATAGAACTCCAAGGTCGGGCCCGAGCCGGTGCCCACCTGAAAACCAAGATGCAGACAGACAGAATAGAACATTTCAAAAGCACGAGCTGTTTGCAAGCCCCTTTCAGTTTTGACATGGCTCAAAGTTATGCTTGATCTGGCACAAGAATCAAGATGCCTAATGGTGTGTCCGCTGGTTCTTTGCAATGTGTGATTGGGCTTGGAGGGTCTGCAGAGCGACATACCTAAATTCTGACTGGTCACTAAGACAAGCTCTTCCGGATGTGCAGCTACATCTCGTGGCTTGATGTCTTTGCAAGACCGCACTCCAGACAGGTGTCTGCTTGAGACGCGACAGGATGTGACCTAAACCTCCCGGGTGCACAGCCTCTCCAGCATACTCGATCTCCAACCTCAGCCATGGTCGATCAACGATTTCTGGTACCGCTGCTGAATCGGGAACAGCCCACAAGCGCTCTCTGGCTGATGTCGGAAAGTCGGTCCCCTCCCTGAGTCGCTCCCTTCTCTTGGCCCCAGGCAAGGCGTTCCCGGCAGAATACAGGTTCATGACTTTGACCTGTAGCACGACTTGCACACAGAGTCTAATTAATATGTATCGAAAAATGAAAGGAAATTGCAGCTAGGAAAGTATCAGCGTTGACAGCAAGCAGAAAACAACGCAAACGCTACACCCTAAACTTCTTGGAAAGCTCCGCCCTCCATGGCACTGACAGGGTACAGGGCTTTCGAGGGCCAAACGGCACTGTCCAGGAGCCTTTGCCGAGAGATCCGCACCTCTCAATGGAGATGTCCATCATACAGTACAGTAGATTATAAAATGATGCGTATAAAGCGGTACAGCATGCAAAATATACGCCAGGTGTAGCGAAGTATCAGGTATACAGGAGAAAGGGAGAGAGAGGAAGAGAGAGAGAGAGCGAGGGACAGAGAAGGAGAGCGACAAAGAGAGCGAGAGAGACAGAGACAGACGCGCACTCACAATCTGTGGCGTGCGATCGCTTGATCCGGTCTGATGAATGCAACGCAGACTGAACCGTCCCTAATACCTGTGGGCACTTGTCTGTATGTATGTATATACATATACACATACATGTATGTATGTATGTATGTATGTATGTATGTACGTAAGTATGCATGTATGTATGTATGTATGTATGTATGGTCCCAAATTGCCGCGCAGCGCGGAACATTGCAGCGGGTCCCAGCCACGTGCTGCCGGCTACGGTCACGAAGGACACGTTGTGCAACGTGGCCGTGTTGAGCCCTGGTTTGGAGGACATACTCGCATACTACACGGCAGAGGACTTTGTGGCTGTTTTCAAGAAGACGCTGGCTTTCCAGGCGCACGTCCTGAAGCAAAAAGAGGCTCGTCAGGTGGCCATGTTGAACATTGGTATGGAGGACACGCTCGCATACTGCACGCTGGAGGCATTTGCGGCTGGTTTCTTAAAGTCGCTGGCGTTCCAGTGCATCATCAAGTAGAACAAGGCTCGTCAGGCGAGCACATCTGGATCATCTAACGGAAAGCTGGCAACTAACGCACCTCCCCCGATGTGACGGCATTCATGGGCTCGAGGGACACGCCATGTTGAACAATTGTATGGAGGACACGCTCGCGCACGGCAAAGAAGCTTGCAGCTGGCTTCTTGAAGTCGCTGGGGTTCCAGACATGCGTCACATCTGGATCATAAAACTGGAAGCTGGCAACACTGCAAGTCGTAGGGAGAGGGGTTATGCACGGACGACGAGATGTTGGACCTGATGGCCCTGACTCCGGTACCCTGACTTAGGAGTTCCGGAGCAAGCGAGTGAGTGCGGAGGTCCCTACAGCCTTCATACTGTTGTTAAGTGGGTGCTGTTGTTGATTTTATCGCAGTGGCTTTGATGTCACCGATATCACCTCGATGAAGGTGTTTTGACATCCTGGGTATGTTAACTGTGTAGGCATGGCCTCATCCGATATCCATGAGGAAGATGCTGCTATTTTTAGGTCCAAAATGTGGACTGTTCTGTGTCTGGTGCTTTGATAGCCGACTACGGAATACAGAGCATGCTTTGTTTTCTGAGCATTGTCATGCAGTGTCCATGTGCCTTCAGATTTGGTTTTGTTGTGGGGGGTCGGACAGCTTTGCCGACTGCTGGTTATATCCAACTCCGGTCTGGTGAGCGCCTACTATGTCTATAGATTTCTGCACCACCGCCCCGTGTTTAGGTAGTGCATGCCAACACGGCTGCGTCCGACCCGGACTCTTTGCCCTGAAAGCGAAAGGTAGGCATGCATGTAATGTAATAAAATGTATTGAAAAGTAATGTAATGTAGTGTAATGTAAGGTAAGGCAAGGTAAGGTACACCATGTAAGGTAAAGGTAAGGTAAGGTAAGGCAAGGTACAAGGTACAAGGTACAAGGTACAAGGTACAAGGTACAAGGTAGGGCAAAAGGTTAGGTAAGGTAAGGTAAGGTAAGGTACGGTAAGGTAACGTAACGTACCGTAGCGTAACGTACCGCAACGTAACGTAATGAAACGTATTCTAATGTATGTCTTTATGTATGTCTGTAAGCATATACACACACATATATATATATATGTGTGTGTATGTATATATGTATATATATGTGTATATACATACAGACGTATACATATACATATGTAAGTATGTATGTATGTATGTATGTACGTATGTATGTACGTATGTATGCACGTACGTACGTATGTATGTATGCATGTATGTATGTATGCTTATGTATGTATGTATGTATGTATGTATGTATGTATGTGTATATATATATATATATATGGTCACCCCCCCCCATGACAGACCGCGCCCTTCAAAACATCGCTCCCACCGGCGTGTTCGTGCTTTTTCAGGGGTATCGAGTTTGAGCCCTCCGAACGTGTCCACCCGACGACCGAAACCAAAAAAC